ATAAACCTACAACACTTAAAATATAAATGCAGGGACATTAAATGAAATCCGGGGACATTCCGGGGATGGATTTTGTCCGGGGACAGATTTGTAAATCCGGGGACTGTCCCTAGGAAACGGGGACATCTGGTAACCATATTGTGGTCCCTTCCAACTCTACAGTTCTAGGATTATCTAGTCTTGGAAGTTAATAATGACCAGCCATCTTGTAGTTCTGTGCGCACAAAAGTTCTTAAAGTCAAGACTCATGGCTGCACCTCACCGTTTGGCAGTGAAATGACGTGCATGACAACTGCAAATCTCAGTCCCTAGCTGGTACGTGTACAAAAAGTGCTTAAATATTAAGATTCTCATTTCTGATAAACTCATTGACCACAGAGAAGTATGTGGATCAGCTCACCTAACTAAGCAGCTCTAGATTTGAGAAGAAACTTTGAATCAATTACCCCTACTGTTTTTTATCACAAACGTTTGATGCGGTGGTGGTTGCCCCTTCCAGATCTAACTCCCTCCCCCTTTGACTCATAGGGCTAGAAAAAGATAATGGAGGCCACCCAGTACAACCCCATGCCAGTCTTTGCAAGATCTGCAACACAGGAGGCAGCCACAAGCATCTCTGGCTCCTTAAATGCCTCCAGCAAAGGGGAGCCCAGGACACCTTGAGGCTTGAACAGAATGGAACTTATCATTTGGGAGTTCCTCTTCAGGTTTGGGCCAATTCTGCTTTGAGCAGACGAGACCAATAGCTGGTCCAATGGCCAATAAGGCGGTTTCTTTTTGTACTGTAGAGGGAAGTAGTGAGGGGCAGCTGGGGCTCATCAAACCTGGTGTTAAAACCAGGAACGGGGAGAGGGGGCAGTTAAATGACCTTCCCGAATTCCCAAGTCCCCACCACAGCCTCTAACTAAGGCCAGGACAATGACCGTTGACACAGGCACCATACACACAAAACAGCAAAGAATATCAGAAAAGAAAACTGTAGCAATCAGAGCTGGATTTAGGTTTGATGAGGCCCTAAGCTACTGAAGGTAATGGGGCCCTTTATATGTCCAGCTGTCCTTTGTCAACAACAAATTGTCGCTGTTTTTTTGTGTTGAATATATGCTATATGGTAATTTATGGACCTAATAGGTATCTAAAGCCATTTGCCGATTTGCAACCAGTCCATGCAGAATGTAGGCACCCTGTATATAGAAATGAGCAAACCAGTGATATTTTAGGGAGCAGGTGGGGCCCATTACTTACGTCATAGGAGCCTACACAACACAAACACTGTTGCTGTAGGTAGGTTTCATTTTATTTGTTTTTCATCTTATATTTTGGAAATGCACATCCAGTTTTTCCCGCCTTTAAATGTTTTGGGGGCCCCCAAGAGAGTGGGCCCTAAGCTTTAGCTTGTTTAGCTTATACGTAAATCTGGCACTGGTAGCAATAAGTGGATACCATGTATTGTACTGTTTTCCCCTGACTATCCAATATTGTTGTTGTTTAGGCGTTTAGTCGTGTCCGACTCTTCGTGACCCCATGGACCAGAGCACGCCAGGCACTCCTGTCTTCCACTGCCTCCCACAGTTTGGTCAAACTCATGTTCATAGCTTTGAGAACCCTGTCCAACCATCTCGTCCTCTGTCGTCCCCTTCTCCTTGTGCCCTCCATCTTTCCCAACATCAGGGTCTTTTCCAGGGAGTCTTCTCTTCTCAAGTATTGGAGCCTCAGCTTCAGGATCTGTCCTTCCAGTGAGCATTCAGGGCTGATTTCCTTAAGAATGGATAGGTTTGATCTTCTTGCAGTCCATGGGACTCTCAAGAGTCTCTTCCAGCACCATAATTCAAAATCTATCCAATATAGAATCAAATAATTGCCAAAATTCAACAGTTGGTTCCAATGGCTAATGACTCCTCTGGAAGGGGGGGGGGTCCAGGGCTTCCCCTGCCTCCATAATCCCTGATACATAGAGTCACGTACACTTCCCCCCTCCCCAGGGAGTAGGAAAAAGATAACAATGGACCAGGCAACTATCCCTTGATGGAGTTTGCTGAAGCCAGGTATTCACAAAGCCCATCTTCAGGAAAACCCAGAGAGCAAGGATTGGTGTAAATAGTTTTATTGTTCTCTTGGTGGTAGGTACTTAGAAGGTGTTCAGGAACTGAATCTGATAACAAGGACGAACGATGGGCTCATGTTACTGTGCAAGAGTCCTTCTTAGTGACTCGTTGGTGATGTATCGATGATGCATCTGGAAAAGTATTATGGGAAGGAGGATAGGAAGGTCTTAAAAGTCCATGCAACCCCATGCCCGGGGTTCCTACTCTTTGTGTGTTTGAACCTTGTTGCAACAAATAAAGATCAGGTCTACTGACCGCTGTTTGCTTCTTTAACTTGGCTGGAGATTCCTTCTTTTGCTGACCAGGAGAGACCCAAAAGATTTCTTCTTTTGCTGACCAGGGGAGTGGCACCTCAATGAGCTGGACAGCAGAGTAAACCTGCACCCAGAATTTTTCCGTAACACTGGGAAGGTACCCCATGTAGGAAAAGCAAAACTCTAATCATAAACCTCTGCTGCCTTATGAGATACCTACCTGAGCACAAATGAGTCGAACTGACAGCCAAAAGACATCACCCGTGGCCAGTTGTGGTCAGTTTCATCTGGGAAAAACTTCCTTGAAAAATCTTTCTGGCATTACAAATGGCAAAAGTATAACAGAGGTGGTCCCAGACACTGCGCTGGCTTCAGAATTTTCCCAGATAACATGCTCGAAAGCTTAGTTTGCAGATCCATATCTATTAATAATAAGATAAATCCATGTTGTCAACGAAAAGAGGAGCAAAATATTCACCTCCTTCTAGAAAACATTTTCCCGAATTGATAAATGGCCACGGAAAGAGGCATGGCAGGAACCTTTTTTTATATTGAGGGCCACATTTCCTCAAAGATAATGTTATGGGGGCCGCAGATGGGGACAGAGGCAAAAGTGGGTGAAGCAATGGATAGGAACATAGAGAGCTGCCTTAACCTGACCCAGACCAGTTGTCCATCTAGCTCAGTACTGCCTACACTGACTGGCAGCGGGTTTCAGATAGGGGGCATCTCCCAGCCCTGTCTGGAGATGCTGGGCATTGAACCTTCTGCATGCAAAGCAGATGCTCTGTCCTTGAGACACAGAAACTTAAGAAGCCTCCTTTTTAAGTGGATCTGACTGTTGGCTCATCTCTCTCAGTATAGTCTACAGTGACTGGCAGCAACTCTTCAGGGTCTTTCCCAGCCCTGAAGATGCAGGGAATTGAATTTGGGACTTCCTGCATGCAAAGCAGATACTCTACTCCCGAGGCGCAGAGCTTCCTCCCTCAAAACATCAGAATTTCCCCGTGGTTCCAGGACCATTCAAGCAGAGTTCCCTGCCCTTGCTCGGCTGCCTTTCCTGGCCACGACTCGTTGGTGTTGCCCCTCCTGTGCTGACTTTCAGTAAACATCTCCTGCTGAAGACCCACGGAGGCAGGAAAGCGGCGCTGAGCATCTGAAACATGCCACTGAGTTCGTCAATCAGTGTTTCCCAAACTTGGGTCTGCAGCTGTTTTTGGACTACAATTCCCATCATCCCTGACCACTGGTCCTTATAGCTAGGGATGATGGGAGTTGTAGTCCCAAAACAGCTGGAGACCTGAGTTTGAGAAACACTGGATCAGAGGATTGTTGCCCTTTATTAGGCTACAGCTGCCTTTTTCTGTATCGCTTGAATGATGCCTGCTGCTCTTTGAACGTAAGGAGAGTTCTGAAGCAGGATCAGGCCAAAGGCTCATCTCGTCCAGCACCTTCACAGCGGCCAACTGGATGCTTCTGAATAATAATAATAATAATAATAATAATAATAATAATAATTTATTATTTATACCCCGCCCATCTGGCTGAGTTTCCCCAGCCACTCTGGGCGGCTTTCAATCAAGTGTTAAAAACAATACAGCATTAAATATTAACAACTTCCCTAAAAAGGGCTGCCTTGAGATGTCTTTTAAAGATAAGATAGTCACTTATTTCCTTCATATCTGAAGGGAGGGCATTCCACAAGGCGGGCACCACTACCGAGAAGGCCCTCTGTCTGGTTCCCTGTAACCTCACTTCTCGCAGTGAGGAAACCGCCAGAAGGCCCTCGGCGCTGGATCTCAGTGTCCGGGCTGACCAATGAGGGTGGAGACGCTCCTTCAGGGCCTCAGCTCAACAGCATCTCTCCCCATGTGATTTCTAGCAACTGGCATTCAGAAGCATCATGAATCACTAGTCCCCTTCAATAGTCTTCTCCATGTCTAATCCTGCTTTAAAGCCATTCAAATTGGGTGGCTGTCTCTGTCTCCTGCGAGAGAGAGTGCCACAGTTGAGCTATGAGGTATGTGAAGGACTCTTTCCTTTTGCCTGGATCTTCCAACGTTCTGCTTTATTGGACGGCCCCAAGTTGCAGTGCCAGGAGAGAGAGAGAGAGAGAGAGAGAGAGAGAGAGAGAGAGAGAGAGAGAGAGAGTGTGTGTTTCTTGCTGGACTCAGATAGCCAGTGTGGTGTAGTGGTTAAGAGCAGTAGACTCGTAATCTGGGGAACCGGGTTCGTGTCTCCGCTCCTCCACATGCAGCTGCTGGGTGACCTTGGGCTAGTCACACTTCTCTGAAGTCTCTCAGCCCCACTCACCTCACAGAGTGTTTGTTGTGGGGGAGGAAGGGAAAAGGAGATTGTTAGCCGCTTTGAGACGCCTTCGGGTAGTGATAAAGCGGGATATCAAATCCAAACTCTTCTTCTTCTTCTTCTTCTTCTTCTTCTTCTTCTTCTTCTTCTTCTTCATCTTCTTCTTCTTCTTCTTCTGATTCCCCCTCATGTCTCTCGCCTCAGGGCTTCCTGTTGAGAGCTGTGGTACGAGAGGGCCATACGGACACACCATACAGGAAATGACATGGCTTTCGTTCCACAGAAAACACGTGGGCTGCTCTTTGCTACAAAAATGTGTCGAAAGAAGCGAGAGGGAGACAGAGGGGAAGAAGAGGTGAGAGACCTTAACAGGCACAGCGTTCCCAGCCAGCGCACCAGAGGGCTAGTTGTGGGAGAACTCCCCCAGCGGAGGAAGTGAAGAGGCGACTGAAGGAAATGGAAGCCAACTCTCACCCCAGATTAGACGGTCGCTGGCTTTGCTTTGCGATGCTCTGGCTGTGTGTGGAACTAGCACAATCCACCATTGATGGTCAACAGGAAGGGAGACCTTGTTGCTCGTCAACTCTTGCCGGTAAGTTTGGAACAGAGTTTTCATATTCCTTAGGGTTTGAGGTTTTAGACTGCCTTGGTTGATAGCTCTTTTCTTGTAGCCCAGGGGAGTTCATAGAACCATAGAATGGGAAGTGTCATCTAGTCCAACCCCCTGCTGTGCTAAAAAATCTCTGACTGAGATGGCACTCTGCATATGCTCCAAGGCCCTGTTGAATTTGAAGATTCTGAGGCTAGCTATTCTCGGAAGTAAAAGCCTAGCATTCTCAGAGGCCTCACTTCAGATGTCCCACTGCAGCGTAGGAACATAGGACGACGGTCCATTCAGCTCAGTACTGTCAACACTGGGTGGCAGCAGCTTTTTGGGGTACCAGGCAGGGGGTCTTTCCCAGTAGAAATGTATGATCTTTACCCAGGTAGTGCCCAAATTATTGACTCAGTCTGTCATAGGAACACAGGAAAGTGTTTAAACCAAGTCATGCTGTTGATCCATCCAGCTCAGTATTGTCTACACTGACTGGCAGCAGGTTTCAGACGGGGTCTTTCCTAACCCTCCTTGGGGATGTCAGGAACTGAACTGGGGACTTTCTGCATGCAAAGTTCTTCCACTGAGTTCAGCCCTTCCTTTAAGATATAGGAACATAGGAAGTTGCCTTATACTGATCCATGCAGCTCAGCATCACTGATTCTGACTAGCAGGTATTTATCCAGAGCTTCAGACAGGTTGTATCTCCCAACCTTAGCTGGAGTTGCGAGGGATCAAACCTGGGACCGTCTGCATGCAAAGCAGTTGCACTCCTGCTGAGCTTAAATGTCAAATTGACATTCTTAAGCTTAGGAAACCAGCAGATGACTTATGAAAATTATTCCCACCCCTCATTTTTCCTGCATCTTTTTAAAAACAACTGCAGGGGATCACCACTAATTTTCAACGTGAAGCTTAGGACATTGCCAGAGGCTTCAGCTAGGGTGTTCTTGCCTTGATACCCTGAAAATGAGCCTAATGGTTAGGAGGAAAGATACCATTGTGTTCAGAATGTGTCTCCCCATTTCCAAAGTCTCACCTCAGGGTTCAAGAGAACTATTGCATAACGAGCAACAGAAAGACTTCTTACATAAGACAGACCAAGCGGTTCAGTGGTTAAACCAAAGTTCACTGAAATAATTTTATTTGTAATACTGAGAACTTCCTAAGAACTACACTTTGCCGTAGCTGATATAATGTCTGGCTATTCTATCCATCTTACCTATTCTACCTTGTCTACCTATTTTATATATCCTGTTTTTCTATCTTTGCATAACTTAACTATCCGCTTCACCATAAATGTCAATCTATCTGTTCAATCTATTTCATCTCCCTTTCTATTCTGTCAAATGCATTATCTGTCATTTTATCTGCCTTATTAGCTATCTTCCTATGCTATCCTTACCAATCATATCCTATGCTAGCCTTACCAATCTTGTCTATATTTTGTCTATTGACCCACATGCTAGTTTCTACCCATAATTCCATAACTTTACAATCCCATACCTATCTGTCTATCCAATCTGTTCCTGTTGTATTCTCTCTCTTTTTTCTCCATCTTTACAGAGCTTATCAGTCTTTTATATCCTTTTGTTTATTGACCTGTGTGCTAGTTTCTATTTTTTTTTACACAACTATCCTAGCTACCATTTCTATATATCATTGTCAATCCATTAAATCTATTCCACTTACTTACAATATTCCAACCTGTCTTCTTATCAATCCCTTCTATCCTTTTGTTTATTGAACGGTGTGCATTTTCTATCCATCTCTATATTATTTACTTGCCGTGTATATCAATCTAGCTATCCAATCTATTCTACCTAGACAGCCAATCTGTCTGCCACCCAATCCTGCTGCCGCCTTCTTTTCTATCTTTCCAGGTCTTATTTATTGTGACGGTGATCAATTTATTACAAACTCTTCACCTTAAGGTCCCAGGGTGGGTTACAGCATTAAAAACAACATTAGAACAATTTTAAACAACTAATCTTATCTATCATTTCATTACTGAGCCATGTGGTGTTGGTTTAAACATTTCCCATTGACCAAAACATTGAAACCGCATGAGCTGAAAAGAAGAATTATACACTACCAACATGCCTAACTTTCCGCTGGACAAAAGGGGTACATCTGGTGCAGTTCTTGATTGCCATAGACCACTAGATGTCCATTTGCAAGCCTAAGTGGGAGCAATTAGTGCTGGGTTAGGCCATAATAATTTCATGAAAAGAGGGAGGGATTTGGGGCTGTTTCCAGGGGGCAGACACATTTCAGTTTCCATACTGCTCCAATTGGTTTGGTAGTCAGCATCTTTCCCCATTCTCCCAGTAATGTCCCATTCCAAGGGATGGCTGTGTCATGATCCACAGAGATGTCTTCCACTAAGAATGATGGCCGAAACAAGAAGTGGCCAGTAGTTTGGCAAGGCTTCAGGACCACGGATAGCACCCCATAAGGCGAGACATGTCACCCAAGTCTTCTCAGCAAAGTCCTCAAGCAACCAGCTGAGGATTTATAGTAAGACTAGGTAGTCATTAACTGGAATCCCCACCCCCTGAGTGCCCCTTCAGGCCAGTTAAGCGACCAGTGCCTTTTTCTGTAGCTGTTGGCTTCTTTGAGGCAATGGAGTTTCCGGCTCTGTTGGTCTTTGTTTGGGGTTCTCTTGATCTCCCAAGGAGTCTGTGAACCAGTGATCAAAGGCTGTCAAGAGAGATGTCACTGCAGGGTTCAGCGGGGAGGCAAGCTCTGCTGCCCACCAACCCACATGACATGGACAAAGGTGTGGATTCATAATCTCCTCAAAGCTGCCATTGCTGGAGGACTCAGAGTAGAGCCATTGAAGTTAAAGAACACACTGGAAAGCCAATGCGGCATAGTGGTTAGCATGTCAGAATAGGACCTGGGAGACTAGGGTTTAAATCTCCACTCAGCCATGGAGCTCACCACACGGCCTTGAGACAGCCAAAAGCTCTCAGCCTCACCTACTTCACAGAGTTGTAAGGATTACATGAGGAGGGGGGAACCATGTACTCCTACTTGAGCTCCTTGGAGAAAAAGGAAGGATATAACTGTAATAAATAAGATAACTTCGGTTAATTGATTTCAATGGAGCGCTGTATTTTTTTCCCAGGGCCTGGGCTAAACCACGGTGCCCATCATAGACTCAAAGGGGCAGCTGCAAAGAAATATGTATTTATACTCCTCTTTCCTTGCTCTCCTGGCTTGACCTGTGCTTTCTTCATCACCAGGAATTCCCCCAAAATCCTGTGGCAAATGTGGTGGTGGGAAGTGCTGTAAGGACAAGCTATGCCATCAATGCCGGGCAGTGCCAACGTGTCCAGCAGGGCAGGAACTGAGATGTTCAGGTAACCCTTGTGTCAATCCCTTCTTGCTGTAAGTCACAGGCCTTCCACCTTGGGTCTTCCAGGTGCTGTGAGACTACAAGTCCCATCATCCCCAGCCAGCAGAGCCAAGGGTCAGGGATGATGGGAGTTGTAGTCTAACAGCGTATGGAAGACAAGACGGACAAGAGGTAAAACCTAGCAAGGTTAAAGGGTCTGGTTTGGCAGAATGTGGTGGGCCAGGAGTTGGAGCCTGTCAGAATGCGATAGAGTAGGGGGCGGAGCCTGGCAGGGTGTGGTGGATCTGAGGGCGGAGCCTGTGGGGTCTGTCAGGTTCCGAGCCTGAACAATAGGCATGACTGGCATCTAATACCCTATAAAATATATTGTGGAAGGGGGGAGATTATTGGGTTGTCTTTGTTTTTATTTTTCGTTATGTATTTTGTAGGGGTTTTTATATTGTAATCTTATGTTGTGAACCACCCTGCAATCGATGTGTATAAGGCAGTATACAAATTTTATACATAATAATAAATATGTTTTACTAGGGTTTTTTTGGAACTGAGTATCGGCTTCTCGTATTGAATTGTTGTACCGTCTCACTCAATTTTATAGTTTGCCGCTTATTGAAAACTGTTTTGGAGTGCTTGTACACAGATTTACTAAGCAGAAATAGAGAGAATGTTGCTTTGTTAGAAAGAGTAAAAGCACAGCTAGGAGCCTCTCAGCAGTAAGTAACCACCTCCCCTCTTCCTTCTTCCAGGCACTATTGACTTCAGATATTTCTGCAGCCCATGCCCTAATGGAACTTTCTCTGATGCCAAAGGCAGCTGTTGCAGACCTTGGGCAAAGTAAGTCATTCTCTGCTTTGCAGCATAAATAATAATAATGCTATTTCATTATAGAAAGGGACACGGGTGGTGCTGTGGGTTAAACCACAGAGCCTAGGACTTGCCGATCAGAAGGTCGGCGGTTCGAATCCCCACGACGGGATGAGCTCCCTGCTCCTGCCAACCTAACAGTTCGAAAGCACGCCAAAGTGCAAGTAGATAAATAGGTACCACTCCGGCGGGAAAGTAAACAGCGTTTCCGTGCACTGCTCTGGTTCCGTGCACTGCTCTGGTTCATGACTGGCTTAGTCATGCTGGCAACATGACCCGGAAGCTGTATGCCGGCTCCCTCAGCCTATAGAGTGAGATGAGCGCCGCAACCCCAGAGTCGGCCACGACTGGACCTAATGGTCAGGGGTCCCTTTACCTTTTAATTTTATTCTAGGAACATACCGAGAGAGACCATTGGTCCATCTAACTCAGTGTTGTCTACACTGACTGGCAGCAGCTCTCCAGAGTTTCAGACAGGGGACTCTCCAAGCCTGAAGACACAAGCAAAACCGATGCTCATCCACTAATCTGTAGCACACCTTGAGCGCATCACCCATGTTCCAACCACCATTCTTTCCTTCCTTTGTAGCTGCAAGACATTGGGGCTTCCAGTTCGACGACCAGGGAACACAACTCATAACGTGGAATGTGGCGACACGAGACCCGTCACTGTGGTTATGCAAACTGGTACGGTTCTGTTTTCTGTATGCAAAATGGGCCTAAAAGACCTACACATGGGAATCGCAGAGTTGTCTCCGACACGGTTCTACTCAAAGCAGACCTGTTGAAATGAATGAATCTGTCTGTGGTGCCTGTTCACTTCAGTGGGTCTACTCTGAGTACAGCTTGCACTGAATACAACACACAGGGAGAATTTGGACACAGCGGGACTGGATTCCAATTACGGCTGTTGCCAAATCTCACACTTGGAGACACACGTTTTTGATGTGGCCCATGCAGGTGGTGAAAATGGGAGGGTGACCTGGGCATTATTCTGGGGACAGGAGCAAAGATGTCGACGAGGAGGCTTCTCCTTGGTGACAGAAATGGGTGTTCTTGGGGCACAGGAATGATGGTCACGGCTAGCAAGAGAGTTCTCTTGAAGGGGGCAGCAAATATTAAAGACACGTTTTGTTTTGTTTTTGTTTTATATATTTAGGTTCATAAATACGCTTCAATATCACAATGTATAACAGGTCTTCTTCTTTGGCGATCACTCGTAGCCGAGTAAGATTGTCTTCCATAAACACGGTTTTAACAGTGAGTCCGTAAGTGACTGTGGAGGCCAATTCTGGATCCACACATCCTTCCACAGTGGGGACATTGGTTTCTGGGTGGGAGCTTATCACGGTGTGGATTTGCCAAGCGTGCCTTCCTCTTAGCACATTTCTCCCTTGCGTCCTGAGTTCGAGTGTCTTCAAAGCCCATGACACCTTTGGTAAAGGCTGTCATCACTGCTTTATGTTAGTGCCTATCTGATCAAAAAACCTGAAAACGAAGGGGGAGAAAAAAGATATTGTTAAATAAAGAATGTCCTAGAAACAGATATCATTAATTCATCTGTTACAATCTTATGAGCCCATTAATAACTGAGTAAAGAAGAGTATATAAAATAATACCTAACTTTTAAGAAGAAGAAAAGGGGGAGATACCTTTAAACAAATATTTTTTCTCATCTTTTATAAGAAGATTTAAATCTATAGATGCTCAAGAAAGAAAATAATGATATAGATTAATATGAGAAAAAACCAATGAAAATATCAATAAAATGGAGGGTTAGAAAATATAAATTATGAACACAGATTAATTACAGATAAATTATCCTCTTAAAATGCTATGTAAGATTAAAGTAATTCCAAATTCTATAAATTAAACTCTCAACCCAATTAAACTCCAATTAAATCAGACGAAATGGATTAAATATATGAGAATGAATTATACGGAGGAGTGTTTTCTTCAGCTTCCTTGTTTCGAAAATCTAGTGCTTGTTTTTAAAGCCTGCTGCAGAGAGGAGGGAGTTATGCAGTGTCCTCATGCAAGGAATGAGGAACAAGCGGTCAGGTTCTGAGCTTATATAGGGCCTGGTGTGCTGGGATTGGCCCTTGGGAGGTCAGCTGACAGAATGCTCAGATGGCTGGTACTGCAGCCTAGATGGCGCCCTTGAAGCCCATCTAGGGAGTTGGAGCTCAACCAAAGTTCCGTTGACAGGTCTATGCAGCAGATTATTATTATTATTTAGCATCCAGTCACTTTAATGTGTTTTTATTTATTTATTTGAATGGTGTTTTATGTTTGAGTACTCCCTGGGTGTTTTATGATATGGTGGTAAAATAATGCTCTTATAAATACATAAATCTATGCACATTAATTCTTTAGATTCCACAGTGACGACTATCTTGACCATTGTGACAGCAACGGGCCTCTCTCTTCTCATCCTGTTGACGTTCTTTTTAATCATCTGCGTATGGACACAGAAGAAGAAACTGCTCCTGGTGGAAGGTCAGTGTAGCTTTTTGACCCCCTTCCGGTGCCCACCCAGAGTTTCCTCCTAACCTAGCCATGGTGGTATCAGTCGAAAGCCTGGTGTCAAAGCGCGAGCCAGCAGTGCTCAAAGTTGGCGCTAATTCCTTTATTAGCAAAAAGACGATCCTCACAGACTTGGCTGAGTGTCAGGACTAATGAGCACAGCAGCTCATCCCTGGGAGGTCTTACCCCATGAATCAGTTGCTGTGACCGAAAGCCCCCACCTCCCGACAGCTAAGTCCCCTCCTTTCTAGGCCTTTCCCCCAAGTAATCAGAGACTGCGCCTGCTTGCAGCCTGCTGCTCCTCCACCCATTTCAGCCCTCTTCTGGTTCTGGGAGGCAAGCAGGGAGGGGTGCTTGTCACAACAGAAGGGGGAGACCTGCAATTCTTCACCAGCCTGACTCATCTCTGCCTCTTGGCCTATCTACCCCCTCTTCCTGTTTCAGCTTCTGCCTCCGATTCTGGACTTCTCTCTGCAACCGACTTTCCTAGTTCACTAAACCCTGTTACCTCTTCCAACACCTCCTTCTCCTCCTAATCTTCTCCCTCTGACCACCCATTGTCACCCCACCACCAGTCCCTGGTCTCTGAGCCTTCTTCCCTTAGTGGGTCCCCAGCTTGCTCCCCACCACCACCATTCCTCTGCATCCAACTTGTCCATGACACCTGGACTACGTCAACTTCCAGTAGGGTTGTGCTCTAGATCTGACCCAAGCCTGGATCCAGAGCCAAATCACCCTGCATTGAGCGGAGAGACAGCCCCAGTCAACTCAGGTTGGGTTGTCCCACCCAGAGCGATCTGGCCCTGACAGAAGGTGGGCTGGTTATGAGGCAGGGGAGAAACAGAAGAGGCAGGCAGTCTCTGCAGGGTCTGCTTTGGCCAGGGGACAGCCTGACTCCCTCCTTTGGCAATCCTCACAGAACTCTAGCTCAATGGTTGCCATTAATATGATTTGAAATAATTTTATAATGAGATGATTTTATAATGTTTTATCATTTTACTGTTGTTAGCCACTCTGAGCCCGGCTTCGGCTGGGGAGGGCGGGATATAAATAAATTTTATTATTATTATTATTATTATTATTATTATTATTATTATCAAAGCAGCACCCAGCAGGATTGAACCCAGCACCACCTCCTCCCTCCACACCCCTCCCAACCACAGGTTTAATTATTGCATGTCCTCATTTTTTGTGCCCATTAACCCTTGCTTGCCTGGTTGGAGGGTACTCCACCTACCGCACGACAGTAAAATTTGCATTCATTGCTCCACCCACTTTGGCCTTTGGCCCCGCCCACCTCTGGGGCATGCCACATTTCCCAGGAAGGAACGTGGTCCTCAGAAATCCCTCCTCCTTGTCTTACCATTGGTACCTTTGTCCTGCAGAGCCTGAATCCGTCCACCCTTCAAACTTCCTAGGATCTCATCATGAAGACACCTGCAGTTGCCAGTTCCCAGAGGAAGAGCATGGGGAGAACATGGACAAATGGAAGGCCTCACAGATCTCTTTGGCCCATTGAAAGAACTTGGGGCGAATCCACAAGCACATGCAAAACTCGCCCCACAATATCTAGGCGGCTGAACTATATGAACGGCAGCTATTATCTTTGTTGTAGCATGATGGGGCTTTGGGCGCCTAAGCTGTTTCTCTCTAGGTTGGCTCCTTCACTGCTACTAGCTGTCTCTAGATCAGCTCACCTGCTCTACACCCTGTGACTATGAAAGCTTTCCTTGCTGGCTAGGGAAATCAGGTTACGAGGAAGGATCTCCAGGAGATGGAAATTCCAACCCTGCTTTCCCTATTCACCCATCCCCAGTTGCAACTGCTGGAACAAGCCATCCACCTTGCTTTCCTAGGCAGGGTTTGGAAGCTGGAGAATGCAGCAGACGTCCTCGTGGGTAGGGCTGCTGACGTCCGATTTTTTTTTACAAAAACACTGGTCCTATGACTACTCCATGGGTATGGAGCCAGGGAAGGCGGGGCCAGAGGGCAGGGCGGAGTCTGGCGTACATTGGAGGTGGAGCCAGAATGTGATTGGGAGGGTTGTGGGCGGAGCCTTGCAGAATCTGACTTCCCAGACTTCCTTCCTGGTTCTCTGAGAGAGGAGAGTCTTCTCCAACTACATTTCACTGGGAGCAGGCTAACTGAACTGAATGGACCTGAGCCAGCCTTGCCCATTTACTTCAAGGGATCTACTCTGAGCAGGATTACCTCAACCCAGAATGCCATTTCACTGGTCAGATCAGCAATTGACCGGCCAGTTAGCAACCCTGTCTACGTATATTGGTGGGGGTGGCAAGACATGTCCTGGGCACAGGCATAGGATCTGCGGTACTCAGAGAGAATGACATGCCCTTCCTGCCTAGGACAGCCTTCCCTTGGTTGGCACCCTCCTGATGTTGTGGGCAACGTCTCCCATTGTCCCTGACCATTGGGTGATGCAAGGTGTATTCTAAATCATTTGGAGGCCCCTGGCTTGGAGACACCTGCTCCAAGAGCCTCTCCCTGATTGGTAAGCAAGACTCAGCTTAGAAACTGCAAAATGGCAATCTTACAGGATTCCCCTGAGCGGTTTCCCACCCTCTGGCAAAATGTGTATCTCCAACTGCAGACTGCCTGGAGGCTTTTCTGCTTATCTCACCACCCCCATAATGACGTCCCTCCTCACTCTCTGTTCTGGAGGCCGTTGTCGTGAGCTTTCCTTGTTTCGAGAAACCTGCTTTGGGAAACCTGAAGGCGGTTTTTTCTTTCTTTTACTCCGCTGCTTCTTCCACTGTTTCAAAGGGTGCAATTCTGACGCAAAGGAAGAAAGTTTGCTTTCATGCAAAAGCAGCGACGCCACCCCCATCTCTTAACGAGAATCGCCTTTTCTTTTTTTAATTTTTAGAAAAGGAAGGGGGGGCAACCCCAGAGCCTTGAGCTGCGCTTCCTTTGTGAAACTGACAATTCTCCGTTAAAACAAGAAAGCTTCAGCTTCACTCGTTTCTTTCTTTCCGCTGCTGGTAAAGAGACTGTGGAAATTCGCGACTGCGATAGCGGGTGACCTCATGGACACTTTCCCTTTCTCTGAAACGCCCTGCAACGGAGTGCGTGCCTCTTTAAAATGTTTTCAACCGTTCGCCGTGACTCACGGCTTCAGGTGTTTTCCCCACTTGAATTTCAGGACCAGTCTGAAGAAAGGATGGTTTTGTTATCCGGCTGGAAGCTGGGGGTGTGCTTTGCGCTTGCACACTCTCAGATAACTTCTTTTAACCCCGCTCAGATTCTGAAGCTGCGTTAATCTCGCAAACGTGGGGGGGAGGGCATTTCCACAAGGGGGGAGAAAAGCAATAGGGTGAGGAAGGAGAGGCTACAGTCCGGTGCATGCATGCAAAAGGCATCTGGTTCAGTCCCCAGCATCTCCAGGCAGGGACGGGAATCACCCTGTCCAAAACCCTGGAAAGTTCCTACCAGTCAGTGCAGACAATACTGAGCTAGATGGACTAATGGTATGGCTTGGGATAAGCAGCTTCCTGCGCTCCTATGAACGGTGGAGTTAACAGTTTGGGCACAACCTGAGTAAAGATCATACGTTTCTATTGGCGTTTTGTTAAAGAGAGGATTTCATGGTGAGAGGTCACAAACTGGCCTGCTGGCTTACCCAGAGGCTCAGTAGGGGCAGCTGGCCAGGCAGTGTGCGTCACTGGCTGCAGCTCAGTGGTGGGGCATCTACTCTATGTGAAGAAGGTCCCAGGTTCGATCCCTGGCATTTCCAAGTAGGGCTGGGAATGTCCCCTGCCTGAAACACTGGAGAGCCTCTACCCATCAGCTTACACAATGTTGAATTAGAAATGCCAGCGGTCTAACTTGTATAAGGCAGCCTTATGTGAAGGGATGTAGCACGGTGGCAGAGCATCAACTTTGCATGCAGAAGGTCCTGGGTTCAATCATAAGCATCTGCAGGGAGAATTGGGAGACATCCCTGCCTGAAGGCCTGGAGAGGCGCTGTCAGTGTAGAGGATGTATTGATTGGCAGCAGCTCTACAGAGTGTAAGACAGAGAAGGGACCCTCCCATCAACAGTGACCTGATTCCCTTTTGACTGCAGTTGCCAGGGCAGTGGCATAGCGTGGGTTGCTGGGGCCGAGGCAGGGCAATTGGGTGGACTGGGCAGCTGGGTGAAAGCATGATTTCCTTTTGCCTGCAATTGCCAGGGCAGTGGCATAGTGTGGGTTGCTGGGGCCAGGGCAGGGCAATTGGGTGGACTTGGCAGTTGGGTGGAAGCATGCATCAGGGGTGTGTGTGTGTGCTGAGTGCAAGACACATGGCTGCCGCTGCTGGTGGTAGTTGGCTGTGCACCTTCTCGGCTTGGCGGCTCTGCTGCCTCCCGGCTCGGCATGTAGGCATCCCTTTAAGGGCCATAAGGAGAAGGTGGCACCACCCCAGGCCCGAAAGCCTGGCCCAGACGCGACTTGCCTCCCCGTGGCTCTGGAAGGCGTTGGGAGTTCAGCCACATGCCCTCAATAGGAGAGCCTGTTGTGGGGGTGCCTGGTTGTGCCCCTCTCAGAATTTTTGCCCCAGGCCACTACCCCTCTGTCCCCCCCATGCTATGCTGCTGGAGCTGGGATTTGGGAATTCCTGCATGCAAAGAAAAAGTTCTACACTGTACTCTACATCTGGAAGCAGAGCATAGTCATCTGATACCTTTCTCTATGAATTTTGTATCATTCTCTTTAAAGCTGTCTAGGTTGGTAGCCATCACTCTGGGTAGTTAGCATAAGACAATGCAGAGTTGGGAGGGGGGAGTTTCAGAATTGCCAGGGGCTGATGTAAGCAAGAGGAAAAATATTGGCGTCTTAGGAAGCAGTTTGCAAGCACAACGTGGGCTGGCAGTCTGAATCCAACGTTGGCTGGACCCTCCTGGAATGCAAAGCTTTCCACCCACCCTAGGCTCAAGGTTGTATATTTGTGTCAATAAATGATGTATCATAAAGACACCACAGTCCCTGCTGTGCCTCATTGTCCGAAAGGAAACACAGACCTTGGTAAGGGCACCTGGTAGCCCTGGAATCTGGCATTGTTCAGAGATTGGGGTGGCATGCAACAACATTGCTCATCTGCTAGTTCAGTTGGTATAGAACATGAGACTCTTAATCTCAGGGTTGTGGGTTTGAGCCCCATGTTGTGCAAAAATTCTGGCATTGCAGGGAGTTGAACTAGATGACTCTCAAGGTCCCTTCCAACTCTACAATTCGATGATTCTGCGATTCTGTGCTCTGCTCAACGAATGATCAAGCAGGGCGTTATTGCATGTCCCACATCACACAGAGAAGGAAAGAGAGCAAGGATATCAGTTTCCATCATGCTACTGACCACCCCACCCCTGAATATCAATCTCAAAGGGAAGGCACAGGAGTCAAGCAAAATCCCAGAATTAATCTGGGTCTTGACTATGGGCAGATGCATGTTTTTTTACACCATGTTTTCTTTTCTTCTTGTTGTCTCGAGAGATAATGGAGTGCACCTCCAGAGGTGAAGTCAAACCTCTGCCTTAGCAGCACTGAAATGACCTCCCTAGGGTGCAAGCCTGGGCAGTTTGGTCCTGGGCTGCCCAGACAACAAGATCCTCCCTCCCAGCCTCGCTGATGCAGTCCAAGGAAAGCAGAGCAAAATATTTGGCACCAGCTTGGCTGCAACCATCTTAGCGACTCCGCTCCAGATTTGTGTCGGGTTTACTTGTTATTAGCCTTTTCTTCTCCCTTAAAACATATCAAGAAGAACTTGTGTAAGGAAAAACAAAAAACCCAACACCAATCATTTTTGACATCCTATAAGGGATGCCACAGATTCCATTTTCAGAATTGCTGAAAGAAGTCAAGGACCGGGGTTGCTTTGGGTTTTTTTTCTCTCGTCGTCCTTTATAGGAAAAAGAAGGAGGGCTTTGGAAATACACAAGCGATCTTGCTTTTAGGAGCCCCGGTGAGAGAGCTTCTTCTCTTCAGGGAGGGATTCGCCGCAGCTCTGGCCCGCTGCCAAGGCCTTGCCACTCTCCCCGGGCATCTTGGAGTAATTCATGAGCTGGCGCAGCGGCTTGGCTTGCTCCTGGGAGGCCGGGAGATTTGGCGGGAGGCTGGACTGGAGATGGAGGGAGACCATCTGCGAGCTGGTCAAGGGGCTGCCTGCCCCGTTCCCGCTGGCCACCAGGAACTTGGACCCAAACGTTTGCTGGAACCAAGCCGCGTAGGACCGGTCCTTGGAGGGCGCTCCGGCAACAGCAAGGCCAGCGGCTCTGGCCCTCTCGTCGTCGCCCTCGGCCTCCGGGTGCCTGTCCGAGACCGGCGGGACATTCTTGATGATATACTGGTTGCCGCTGCTGCAGACTTGGTTGCCCCGGAGGATGGTTTTGACGGACGGGCAGCAGGCGAGGTTGGGCACGATGGAGATCTGGATCTGGGGCATGGGCAAAGTGTTCCTGGGGACCCCCCTGCTGGGCACGATGGTGACCCCTTCCGAGTGGGGTGGCGCCTCGCCCTTGGCTGGCTTCTCCGGAGATTTGACCGGCTGCTTCTCCGCTGGGCGCCCGGGGCTCATGTTGTAGGTGCTGTTGCAGAAGCTGCTGTTCTCGGTGAGGGACCGGTGGCTCCTGAGAGAGCGGAGGGACGTCCTGCTCTTGGTGGGCCGCGACTGGTTGCTGTCTGTGCCCACCCCGCTGTACAGCAGGGCAAAGTGGCAGAGCGACTCCAAGGGCAGTATGTTCTGGATCCTCTGGCTCTTGGTGAAAATCTCGATGGCCAGATCTGGGAAAGGCCCACAGAGAGAGAGAGGTAGAGGTAGAGGTAGAGATAGAGAGATAGAGATAGAGATAGAGATAGAGATAGAGATAGAGATAGAGATAGAGATAGAGATAGAGAGAGTGTGTGTCAGGAATAGGGGTGGTGTGGGGAGAGACCCAATGCAGTTTCCGCCTTTAAGGGCAACTTACCTGATTCTCGTTTCTGAAATGCAAAGCCCAAAGCTAGCTATCTTTCAGAAACTGGACACTGAGATCCAGCGCCAAGGGCCTTCTGGCAGTTCCCTCACTGCGAGAAGTGAAGTTGCAGGGAACCACGCAGAGGGCCTTCTTGGTAGTGGCGCCTGCCCTGTGGAACGCCCTCCCACCAGATGTCAAAGCAATAAACAACTATCGGACCTTTAGAAGACATCTGAAGGCAGCTCTGTTTAGGGAAGCTTTTAATACTGGATGAATAATTGTATTTTAATATTCTGATGGAAGCTGCCCAGAGTGGCTGGGGAAATCCAGCCAGATGGGTGGGGTATAAATAAATTATTATTATTATTATTATTATTATTATTATTATTATGAATTTCGCTATGAAGCTCTTCAACTGAGTAAATTTGCAAAAATGTATAGTCATACCCTTGTTCTTGAACTTAACCCATTCCAGAAGTCCATTTGGCTTCCGAAATGTTTGAAAACCAAGGCACGGCTTCCAATTGGTTGCAGGAGTTTCCTGCACTCAATCGAAAGCTGTAGAAGCCGCGTTGGACATTTGGCTTCTGAAAAACATTTGCAAACCACAACACTCACTTCTGGGTTTGCAGTATGCAGGAGCCAAAATGTTTGAGTCCCAAGGCGTTTGAGAACCAAGCTATGACTGTATATCCTAGGTAGGGCATCATGCAGCAGTGAAAACGGCGTACAAAGATTCATTATGCTAAGGAGAGTTGCTTTGCAAAAATGTGTATATAATGGAAGACAAAAACATGTGTTTTATGAGGAATGCACCCCAAAATGCTGATGAAATTCCACAAGGACTCCACAATAACCACAACCTGGTGTATAAATGCGGAGAACTGAACCTCAGAGTGGGAAGCAGAGGGTTGTAATCAACTGTGGATCCTACTGAAGTTTATGAACATGAGGCTAAATTAATTTTCATGTGCCTACTCAGTGTGGGAACTTAACTGGATACAACCCTGAGGAACTAAGAGAAACTGAATTGGAGAGATCCACCCATCCCTTCTCAGGAACTGTGCGATGCAATGTTTTTGGTCTCCTTTGTTAGGGAGATCTGAGTCTGCTCAGTTTGCACCCAGAACCTCCCCAATGAAGATCAACTTCCAGGCTCCCCTCCTTTCCCTTCTGGGGGCTCTGGACAGGAGCCAGTCTAGGTAAAAAAAGGTAAAGGACCACTGGACAGTTAAGTCTGGTCAGAGGCGACTATGGGGCTGTGGCGCTCATCTCGCTTTCAGGCCGAGGGAGCCGGCGTCTGTCCACAGACAGCTTTCTGGGTCATGTGGCCAGCATGACTAAACTGCTTCTGGTGCAATGGGACACCGTGATGGAAGCCAGAGTGCATGGAAATGCCGTTTACCTTCCCACCGCAGCGGTACTTATTTATCTACTTGCACTGGTGTGCTTTTGAACTGCTAGGTTGGCAGGAGCTGGGGCAGAGCAACAGGAGCTCACCCCGTCGTGGGGATTTGAACTGTTGATCTTCTTTCCAGTATACCTGAAGGAGCGTCTCCACCCCCATCGTTCTACCCGGACATTGAGGTCCAGCGCCGAGGGCCTTCTGGCGGTTCCCTCACTGCGAGAAGCCAAGTTATAGGGAACCAGGTAGAGGGCCTTCTTGGTAGTGGCACCCGCCCTGTGGAACGCCCTCCCACCAGATGTCAAAGAGAACAACAACCACCAGACTTTTGGAAGACAACTGAAGGCAGCCCTGTTTAGGGAAGCTTTTAATGTTTGATGCATTACTGTATTTTAATATTTTGTTGGAAGCCGCCCAGAGTGGCTGGGGAAGCCCAGCCAGATGGGTGGGGTATAAATAATAAATTATTATTATTATTATTATTATTATTATTATTATTATTATTCTGATTGGCAAGCCCAAGAGGCTCAGTGGTTTAGACCACAGTGCCACCCGCTCCTCCCTAGGAGCCAGTCTACAGCCACCCGGGCACCAACACTGGTCAAAGGAGAGCTTCACAAAGAGTGCCAGGTCCAGCTGGAAGCTGGTACTTTGGATGGGCTGATCGGCAGTCAAAGCCCTCCTGGGAGCTTGGGTAATTGCCTGACAGTGCCTATGCCTGGTGCTGGGTCCCCTACACAGCTATAGAAGCCATGGGAGCCCTGGGCACCTGGTCAACTCTGTTCATGGAGGAGTAGGCTTGCTTCTGTGCTCCTGAACCCCTCCATGGCTGCTCAGCTTTGCTTACCCAGAGTCTCGTTCACCACCGTGGGAATGATGCTTTTCAAGGCGCTGCAGTTGGTGTGCAAGGCAGGGTTGGCGTTCATCTCCAGGAGCCAGACCTGATTTAAAAGGGAAAAAAGGGGGGGAACACATTTGTTTCTTTGCTGGATCTCCAGCTCTGGCCCTGAAATCCAGGCTGCAAATCAGGGCTGAGGTGTGCGTCTAGTTTAAAGCTTCAGGATCCACTGGATCCTGCTTTTGAATCCTGGATCTAAGACTCTGCAAGAGAATTATTGTGCGACAACACAGGGTTGTTGTTTTTTAAAGAAAGCACGTGGCTCCCTACAAATCTTGGAAACTGTAGTTTACCCCTCATTGAGCTATAATTCCCAGCACCCTTAACAATCTAACATTTCTAGGATTCTTTGAGGAAAGCGATGTGCTTTAAAGGCATGTGTGTGATCCCTGTTTTGTTGATCCTGGATAGCTCACTTGGTTAGAACATGGTGGTGATAATGCCAAGGTTGCAGGTTCAATCCAGTTACATATTCCTGCACTGCAGGGGGTTGGACTAGATGATCCTCAGGGTCCTTTCCAACTCCACAGTTTAATGATTCTGTGTTCTGTTTCCCCACAATTTGTTTCCGTTTTCCAATTTGACCAGTGAAAATGTTTTATGACTGCCACTAGGGGGCACTAAAGTCATTTCTATTTTCTCTCGTAACTTCCCCCCAAAAAATCTTTCCTGTTGCAACAGAGGCTATATAAACAAGTTCAAGGAAGCTAAGAGTTTAAGGGGAAAGTGCCAGCCATATATTTCTGCAAGCAGTGAAAAAAATAAGCAGTGCAGAGGTGGATTCAGGAGAGCGGTGGCTTTCTTGGAAGTGCGAAAAATATCCACAAAACATTTGACTCATATAGAATTGTTTTATGCATACGTAGTTTGAATTAATCATAACTGGCTATAATTTATTTAACTGGGTGTTGAAGATAATGAAGATTATGATGTCCTTTGACCTCATGGCCTGAATATCCAGTTTTAATTGCTGTGTTGTTTTAACAGGGATCTTCTATTGCACATTTTCATCATGGCCATTTAATGTTTAAATAGGATAGTTTTGCTGCGGGTTTTGCCTACGATATATATATTTAAAATTATTCCGTATTTTGAACAATGCAGTGCAATTGTTTTTTTGTGTTTGTGTTTTGTAAACTGCTTAGAAAACATTTGGGCAATACATGACATATAAATCATATATCCACCTAGGTCTTACACAGAGTAGACTGAAAGTAACAGACCCAAGTTTCTCATGTTCATCAATTTCAATGTATCTATTGTGAGTAGGGCTAAAATAGAACACAAATCTCTCTTCTTATATTTCTCTATTAATAATCATTGGGTTGTGTGCAACAAGCCCTACTCAGAGTATGCCCATTGAAATGAATGGACCTAAGTTAGTCATACCCATTAGTTTCCACGAGTCTAGTCTGAGTGTGACGAAAATGGGATAAAATCCATTATTATGATCAATCATCAACGAGTTGTAGTCAACAAACATTTACTCTGAGTAGACCCACTGAAATCAAAGTGTATCGTGGTACTTAATTTCAGTGGGTCAATTATAAGAAAAGTTCATTGACGACAACTTCTTCTTCTTCTTCTTCTTCTTCTTCTTCTTCTTCTTCTTCTTCTTCTTATTATCCTATAGAGCTACCTGGATTTCAGAAATACAGTGGTACCTCAGGTTACATACGCTTCAGGTTACATAAGCTTCAGGTTAAAGACTCTGCTAACCCAGAAATAGTACCTCGGGTTAAGAACTTTGCTTCAGGATGAGAACAGAAATCGTGCTCCAGCGGCGTGGCAGCAGCAGGAGGCCCCCTTAGCTAAAGTAGTGCTTCAGGTTAAGAACAGTTTCAGGTTAAGAACGGACCTCTGGAACGAATTAAGTACTTAACCCGAGGTACCACTGTAGCCTTTGCTCCATGAATTTGCCTAATCCCCTTTCAAAACAATCCAAGTTGGTGGCCATCACTGCCTCCTGTGGCAGGGAGTTCCGTAGTCCAACTATGCACTATGTACGTCCGGAATCTTCCAACATTCAGCTTCACTGAAAGTCCACGACTTCTAGTATACCCACGCCATATAACGTCCTGAGGCCAGCAGCGGGTGGGTCCAGAGGGACAAAGTGTGCAAAGCGACGAGTTCAAATTTTACCTCTGCGCAGTGGGCTGGTTTCTACACACCCCTCTCAATCCTCCATGCGGGAAAGAAAGAGGCATGAGTTCAAGGACACATTCCAGCCAGGCCAAAACTCTCAGGGGAGGTGTGAAGCAAGGCTGGTGAGGGGATGCGGCTAGGCAGAGAGACCCGGAGGCTCACCCTATACAGCCACCATTCCCAGATCTATGGGTTCATTATCCACCGGAGGAGTCCCTCAGCTGTCCTCCTCAAGCCCTGACTCTGGAGACTCGTGCCTCTCGATCCGAGGAGGCGGCCGCGTGACTGTACCTTGAAGTCTTCGTCGATTAAGAAGTCGCAGCCAATGAGATCAAAGTAGCCCATCTTGCACTCCAGCTTGGACTTGACCGCCAGGAAACATTGCAGCATGATCTCTTTCATTCTCTTCTGAAAGACACAGAAGGACGGCATGATCCCGGAAAGATTCCCCCTGCCCCACAAGACCTCTTGCGAGTCAGGGAAAGCCACAAAAGATCCAGATTAGAGGATCCGCTTCTGTCCAGTCCTCAGGTGGTCCCCCGCTCAGCCCTACTCGGAGTAGACCCATTGGAAGTCATGGACGCTTGCCCACTCATGGTTTATATTTATTTATTTTTACACCCCCAACTTCTTCTTCCCTGAAGGAACTCAAGGTGGCGTACATAGTCCTCCCCCACCCTGTTTTATCCTCACAACGACCCTGTGAGGTAGGCAGAGAGAGACAGTGACTGGCCCAAGGTCAATAATAATAATAATAATAATAATAATAATAATAATAATAATATAATAAATTTTATTTATACCCTGCCCTCCCAGGCCAGAGCCGGGCTCAGGGCGGCTAACACCAGTAAAATTACAGTAAAATCATAAAAACCCCAATTTAAAATACAGGTTAAAATGCAATTTAAAATGCAGCCTCATTTTAAAAGTAGCCCATAGATCAAAACCATAAGGAGAGGGAAACATAAGGGTCAGACTGAGTCCAAACCAAAGCCCAGGCGGAACAGCTCTGTCTTGCAGGCCCTGCGGAAAGATGTCAAGTCCCACAGGGCCCTAGTCTCTTGTGACAGAGCGATCCACCAAGTCGGGGCCAGTACTGAAAAGGCCCTGGCCCTAGTTGCAACCAATCTAACCACCTTGCGACCTGGGACCTCCAAAGTGTTGTCATTTGTGGACCTCAAGGTCCTCCATGGGGCATACCAGGAGAGGCGGTCCCGTAGCTACATGGGTCCTAGGCCGAGAAGGGATTTGAACCCTGGTCTTCCAGGGCCTAGTCCGACACCCAGACCACTACACCACACCAACTCTCAGTGGGATCTAATCCATTTCAATGGCTTTTTACCCAATTCAAAGAGCTTCTCTCCATGAGCAAGAGCGGCCCCACCCTTTCCCGTCCACCTTTCCCTACTCTTTCAGAGGTGGCACCCATTCTGTGTCATGCCCCGCCCCGACAGCAGCCATTTTGTGTTAGACTGAACCCTCAACGGCAGCCATTTTGTGGCTGGTGTCCAGGAGCACTTTCTCAACATCCCCAAGCTGCCCATTGGCAGGTACGGTCATATGGGCATCTGGACCAATCAAGTTCCACGAGGTTCTCCAATTCGGTCAGCTGGTGGCGTTGGCTTATGCGGTCCAGTGGGGGCATAATGGTTTAGAGCAGGGGTCAGCAAACTTTTTCAGAGAGGGGCCAGTTCACTGTCCATCAGACCTAGTGGGGGGGGGCAGACTATATTTTGAAAAAATAAATAAAAATGAACAAATTCCTGTGCCCCACAAATAACCCAGAAATGCATTTTAAATAAAAGGGCACATTCTACTCATGTATAAACACCAGGCATAACCGTGCATTTAAATAAAAGGGCACATTCTACTCATGTATAAACACCAGGCAGGCCCCACAAATAACCCAGAGATGCATTTTAAATAAAAGGGCACATTCTACTCAGGTAAAAACATGTTGATTCCTGGACCCTCCACGGGCCGGATTTAGAAGGCGATTGGGCCGGATCTGGCCCCTGGGCCTTAGTTTGCCTCAGCCCAACCTACCTCACAGGGCTGTTGCAGGGATTAAATAAGAGGGAGGGGGAACCAGGGGATACAAATACAATAAATAATAATGGAGAAACAGTGGAGCAGCGTGACAGCCTGATCCTGGAGAACTGGTGGCAGATGTTGCTGCAGCAGCTGTGGGATGGGCAGAAGGAAGTGTGGAAACTCACAGTGAACCCATTGAAGACCCAGTCCTTGGGGAGCCCTTTGATGTGCCTGAACCTCTCATTGACGTAGTTGTTGAAGCGCTCCATGCGCCACACCGTCTCCTCCTTGACGTGGCTGTACATTGGACTCTTCTTCTGAACGTACTGCGGGGAGTTGGCAGAGAAAACAGGCGCCCTTGTTAGGGGCCGTGCATTGTAGCGCTGGATCTGTGCCTCCCCTCCCGAGGACAAGGGTCTGGGCAAGGAGCAAGGGGGAGCGGGTTTGTAGGACGGGGAGCAGGAGGGTGGGCAAGCAAAGCAAGCGGGGGGGGAGCCGCTAGGATTGCTTATAAGAACCTAAGGTGCGGTCAGGCTAAAGTCCCATCTAGCCCAGCCTCACATTAGCCAAGCAGATGCCCCAATGGGAAGCATAGCTGTCAACTTTTCCCTTTTCTTGCAAGGAATCCTATTCGGAATAAGGGAATATCCCTTTAAAAAAGGGAAACGTTGACAGCTATGCTGGGAAGCAGGACCTGAGCGGCACAGAAACTCTCCCATCTTGTGTTTCCAAGGAACTGGAATTCAGACTGCATTCAGAAGTGGAGTTTGGACACAGCTGTCATGGCCAGGAATCTAACCCGCCATGAATTTCTCTTACCCCCCCCCCCACTTTAAAACCATTCAAGTTGGTGACTGCCGCTACTTCTTGATGAAGTGGATCCCACCGTTTAACCAGGTGCAGGGTGCTTGTATTGATTGATTATTTCAGCTCTTACAACCCATCCTTCCTCCTTGGATGGAGCCCAGAGCCAAAAGACAATAAAACCACATTAAAAGAGAGAGAGAGAGAGAGATCAACATTTGACATATGTTTGATGCTTTGAATCCCTTAGATTCCACCTAATTTCACTCAGATTTTGTGTGGATTCAATTTGTTTTAACGCTGGCTGAAAAAGAGGGGCAGAATTTTCTGCAATTTCTCTCTCTCTCTCTCCCTTCCGCATAATATGAGAACCCTAAGGGTTCATCCAGTAGCCCTCCAAATGGTGTAGCATTAAAGCCGCTAGCACACTTGCAAAGCTAAGCAGGGTCTGGTCTGGTTTCAAATTGGATGGGGAACCGCATGTTGAGATTCCTGCATCGCTAGGGGTTGGACAGGATGACCCTTGAGGTCCCTTCCAACTAGTCTATAATTCTATGAAGCTGAATATTGGGAGATTCAGGGCAGACAAAAGTTCTTCTTCATGTGGCCCAGAACTAAGTGGAGGAATTAATTCCCCAAACAGGTAATGACGGCTTTAAAAGAGGACTGGGCAAATTCATACTGCTCCATGATGCATTATGATTTACTGTTTACAACTATATTACGATGTTCTTGTTTCAAGCTGCCCAGAGAAGTTTTTTTGTTATTGGGTGTACATGCAAATATTGTCCATAAAATAAAAGGCGTGCGGACACAAATCTAGGAACTTCAATCAAACGGGCAGTTTTCCAGAAAACAAAGGGGTGAATCTTCCACAGACCTTCTGTTTACGCATTTCTCAGCGAAGGGGCAGCAACAGGGGGAGCCTCCAGGTCTCTCCTCTTTGATTCCATCCACCTGGCGGATCCCCACTTCTTAAATATGAAAATTCAAACCATTCCCTCCTCGCTCCCACCCACTCAGGTGGGACACAATTGGGGGCGGAGAGGCAGATTTCTGTGCCGCCGTCGCCACCTGCTCTGCCATGAATTTCCTCGCCTCCTCCCCACCCCACCCCCCGCCGATGAGATTTGCAGGTACTCTTTTCAATAACAACACCTGGCCCTCATTTCATGTCCTTTGTGGCAGCAGGGTCTCTCTGGAGCCAGCATGGCACCGCAGCGCTCCAAATCCCAAGCTGAGCAAACAGCTCTGTTCAAGGCAAAAAAACCACACACAAGGCGCCCATCTTGCCAAAGCCATTAAGCTGCAGGAAGGCGATACCAAGTGGGCTGGGCTGGCAGGGATAACATAAGCTCCAGCTGTCCCTGTTTACCAGGGATGGATGGCCCTTGTTTTCTGGTGCCCGTCCTTGGAGCGAGAAGAGAAATCAATTCCTGTCTGTGTTTCTCCTCTTGGGCGAGTGTGACGTATTTGATAACAAATGGGGGAGCCTTATAATCAAAAAGCCCCATTTCAGGCCTTGCTCCGATCATGCCTCTTGCTCAAGAGGCCTCAGAAAACTATTTATGAATTATTTCAAAACATCTATATGCCGCTTAATCGTAAACGCCCTGCTCTCAAATCAACACCTCAAAGCGGTTTGCAAAATGTTACCTGGATGGCTTACAAAAACGCCAAATTTAAATCTCTCTCATCTCACCCGAGCCCTTGAAGGGAGACGGATGAATTTCCAAGCCTTTCCTGCACATAGAAATCTAGATGGTCAAGGGGGTTGGTATCGTTTATGGCACGGGTTGTGAGGAACCTGTGGCTCTCTGGACATTGTTGCTGCTGTTAATAATGGTAATAATTAGTATTAATCAGCTGCCTCCTCACTCCAGTGGCCCCAAGCGACTTACAAACACAAAACCAATCACAACAGGGACAGCAAATAAAACCTAGAAGCACCTCTGTAGGAATAAAAGGCAGGTCTTACAGATCCTGCTCCTGTCAAACTCCAACTCCTATCACCCCTGAGCAAAAGTGATGCTGGCTTGAGGCTGACAGATTCAAACAATGTATTGCAGGCCGCAGGTATTGTCATATATTTTGATGACCTTGGCCTAGCTACTTAAATTTAGCACCTGATGTTTTTGAGGGCTAGGCTTAGAGACGGGCGAATCTTTCCATTTCAGTTTTCCTCAATTTCCTGCTTTTTGCAATCTGAAGATCAGTTCTTCACCTTCCCGCATTGATTTGAAAATACCTTCTTCTTCTTTTTTTTAGAAAAGAAAGTTCTCATGGAAACTCACCAGCATTTTAGTCTACATTTCCCCCTAATTTAATATGTCACTTTGCCTACCATTCATTTTCTTTTGGAGGCAATTTCCCTCAATATACTGCATTTGGAAGCATGTTAATTTCAGCGATAGATGCCCTTATTTGTTTATTTCATAAAACCCACACAGCACCTGATTTGCAAAACGGGCAACAACCACCTCAAAGCAGTTTTGCAAAAGAAAAGAAAAGAAAATGAAGAGGAAACAAACAGACTTTTAAAAGGTTAAAATGCAGTAGACTAAAAGCAGATTAAAACTCGCACCAACTTTCTAAACGTCTGGATAGGCATGCCCAAACAATAAAGGTTTTTAGAAGGCACCAAAAGGAGGGCAGCGAAGGGGCCTGCGTGGTATCAACAGGCAGGGAGTTCCAATAGCTACGTGCTGCCACATTCTAAGATCGCATTCTTACACACTTTCCCCACACTTTCTGAACCAGATCGCAAAATTCAGAGAGGTGCGAATTTCAAAGACTGCCTGGCTTCACGTATTGTTTGGGTACAATGCCTGTTTTAATGCAACGCTCCACGTTTGAGAGAAGGCCCAACTATTTCCTGGTCCACAGAATCCTGCCTCCCGCTCAAATCCCGCCCCCCCTCTCTCCCCCCTCACCTGATTGGTCAGATGAGAAGTGAGGTCTTCCGACTTGGGGTCGTAGTTGAGGCATGTGAGGCGGACGTAGCCGTGGCCAAAGAAGAGCATGAAGGGGCATGTGCAGGCGATGAGGAGGTACGAGCGAACATCAAACTTCTTCCCCTCTAAGAGCAGTGGCTTATCAATATACCTGAGAAACCGGAAGGATATGCAACTCTGTGGCACCTGACCTTCTGAGGCTCTTCAAGTCTCGCTCATGCCAATCTGCTTATTTTATTTTTTATGTTCTAATCTATTACATCTTATTTATTTATTTATTATTTTAAATATAAATTTGAAAATAAATCAGAGAAAGCGCATGGAAAGGGTAACTTATTAACACAGCAGGCACAAGACAGCTCGTTAACTATGCACCCTCATTATCTTAATATTTCCTTCCTCTGTTACAGTTTCTTTATGGGGGGGGGTTTCCATGCAAAATTCTTCCTTCCAGGGTTTCGGGGTGAAAAGATAACTCAAAAGGTCCATAGTCTAAAACACAGATTTCCAAAAGAGGTGTTGGGATAACCTGGGGTGGGGTGGGGTGGGTTTCAAAGTTCATCCGTTTGGTTGAATTAATTAAACTAATTGGATTTTTGAATGCATGTGCAGCTAATGGTTACTGTTTCAAACTGTATTGCATTACAGTGGTACCTCGGGTTACAAACAACTCAGATTACAAACACCTCGGGTTACAAACACTTTGGGTTACAGACTCCGCTAACCCAGAAATAGTACCTCGGGTTAAGAACTTTACCTCAGGATGAGAACAGAAATTGCGTGCTGGCGGTGCAGTGGCAGCGGGTCTCCCTATTAGCTAAAGTGGTACCTCAGGTTAAGAACAGTTTCAGATTAAGAACGGACCTCCGGAACGAATTAAGTCCATAACCAGAGGTACCACTGTATTATTATTCTTCCTTCCTGGATTGTGTGAACCAGCATAATGAATAATAAAGGTTGGGTTGGGGGCACGAGGGTTGAGTTTGTGGAACCAAGGGGGCGGTGACCTGAAAAAGTTTGGGAACCGCTGCTCTAGAATATATTGAGGACAGGAAGTGGGTATTATGATCCTTTATGCTTGTATAGCCAATAAAGGCTTTCCAGATTTGTAAGATTGGCAGAGAATAACTAGAGAAAATGGAATAGACCTCGCAGCCCTGTGCATGGCACACAATGCTTCTGTTTTTCAAATACTGCTTGAATTGTTTTTGATAGTCGTAAGTGGACTGATTAAACTAGCCGTGCAATTGTCATGCTTGCAAGGAAAGTGGGCATTAGCTGATGTTGAAAGCGGGCATTAGCTGATTTCATGTTTGTTTGACTTGATTATTCTAGCCTGAGGCACTGTGTGTGTGTGTGTGTGTGTGTGTGTGGTGCCGGATTTACGTATAAGCTAAACAAGCTATAACATAGGGCCCCACTCTCTTGGGGGTCCCCAAAAAAATTAAAGGGAAAAAAAAACTGGATGTACATTTCCAAAATATAAGATAAAAAGCAAATAAAATAAAACCTACAGCTTAAAAATTATTTCACTATTAATATACTTATTCTTAATTGTATTTCACTATTAATATACTTCTTCTTAATTGTATTTCAGCTCAACATTTACTTTGATAAAATACATAAGTTGTTATGTGCAAATGGCTTTAGATACTTATTAGGTCCATAAATTACCATACAGTGGTACCTCGGGTTAAGTACTTAATTTGTTCCGGAGGTCCGTTCTTAACCTGAAACTGTGCTTAACCTGAAGAAACACTTTAGCTAATGGGGCCTCCTGCTGCCGCCACACCGCCAAAGCATGATTTCTGTTCTCATCCTGAAGCAAAGTTCTTAACCTGAAGCACTATTTCTGGGTTAGCGGAGTCTGTAACCTGAAGCGTCTGTAACCTGAAGCGTATGTAACCCGAGGTACCACTGTATAGCATATATATTCAACACAAATAACAGCGACAATTTGTTGTTGACAAAAGACAGCTGGACATATAAAGGGCCCCATTACCTTTAGTAGCTTAGGGCCTCATCAAACCTAAATCCGACCCGTGTGTGTGTATGTGTGTGTGTGTGTGAATTTTTGCATTTCCACTTCTGTAGGAAGCCAGTTAGATGGGGAGGGGTGGGGGCAGGTGAGTACAGCTGCTCAGCTCTCTAACAGCTTTGGTATATAGCATTAGAGACTCATTCAGCTCACACAATGCAAAGTCTTTGGCGTGCATTTCCCCCTTTGAAGCTCTCCTTAGATGCCCAGACAGAAATAATCTCTGATCTGTCTCTCTTTCTTTCTCTCTCTCTTCACCACCTGTTAAAATGCTAATGATCTGTCTGTGCCGATGACACGAAACTTTAAGAAGAGAAAGGTATCGGAAATGAAACTAGGCCGACTGAGGAAAGGACTCTGATCATACAAACGACAGGAAGTCCTTAGACCGGGAACGCTCAAGCTCTGTATGCCAGGAGAAATAAAAGGAATAAGGGAGGGAGTGGATATCCTGCTGTTGGCCCAATGTACCCACCCGCTAAAAGGGACGCGGGTGGCGCTGTGGGTTAAACCACTGAGTGTAGGATTTGCCGATCAGAAGGTTGGCGGTTCAAATCCCCGCGACGGGGTGAGCTCCCGTTGCTTGGTCCCTGCTCCTGCCAACCTAGCAGTTCGAAAGCATGTCAAGTGCAAGTAGATAAATAGGTACCACTCTGGCAGGAAGGTAAACGGAGTTTCTGTGCGCTGCTCTGGTTCGCCAGAAGTGGCTTAGTCATGCTGGCCATATGACCCTGTACGCCAACTCCCTCGGCCAAGAAAGCAAGATGAGTGCCGCAACCCCAGAGTCGGCCACGACTGGACCTAATCGTCAGGGGTCCCCTTTACCCTTTACCTTTACCCACCCGCTAAGACTTTCCGCAGTTGCTCTTACGCAAAATGCAGAATCCCGTGCAATCGCAGAAAACGGGATGGCACTTTGTTAACACCTTCTGTTCAGACTCTGAAATTTGCACAAGTACAGAAGCATTTGGGAGAGGGGAACTTAATGGTTTTTTGACACACACATCTCAAAAAAACTCAGTGAAGACTGAGTAAGCTCAGTGGCTGTGGAATGCCGATTGAATGTTTGGAGGAGCCATAAATGGAATGGAACCTAGAACAGGAATTCTAGATGCTAGAATGGAATCTAGAACAGGAATTCTAGATGCTAGAATGGAATCTAGAACAGGAGGCCTCGAGGAGGCCACACACTGCTATTTTCCCCCCCTGGTATGCGGGGTGTTTAATGGGGAGTGTGATGCAAGTCCCCGGCTTTTGCAGCCCATAATGGGGGGGAAAGGGATGCTCAGGCCCAGAAGAGGTGCCAAATGGCTCTTGGGATTCTCATTAGGCCACACCCCCTGTCACCAGGCCACACCCCTCCCCAGCCAAGCTTCACGTCCTCCAGAATGGCTGGGATGTGTCACGGAACTCGACAGCATTACTTGCTTTCCTGGATGGAGGGTTGAGAAGAGTGTCCTGTGTTCAGGAAGCAGCACACTGTGCAAAGGTTAAGATTTGCAGCAGTTGCTCCTCCCACTTTTGCCACCAGCTCCACCCACTACTGGCCTGTAGCCCCTGGAAGGTAGCGTAGTAAGAGATGTGGACGCCGGGGGTGAAAAAAGCTGCCTGTTCCTGCCGTCCTGGTTGCATTCCAGGAGCTCGCATTTCTGCAAGATGACGGCCCGAGAAGGAGATTTTCCCAGCCCACCCGAGATCCCAGGCTTCCTTCACCTCAAGCGCACCGGTTAAGTTCCCCGAAGACCACCCAGCAACATCTTTCACCAGCCAGCTGGAAACTTGGGGCAGTGGGTTAGCAGAACCTCCACATCACTGCGTTCTCTACCTTTGAACGATCCTCGCCGGGGGAATTTTGTAAGGCAGTTTCTTGTACATAGGATCTTCTTCGATGCTGAGGAGCTTGGCTTGCAAGCTGTTGACCTCAGATTGGTTTTTGAGGAGGAAGATCCCCCGGCCTTGGTTCGAGCTGGTGGGCTTGCAGATCCAGATCTGAGGCTCTGTGGAGAAGAGGAGACACACAGGCAGGTGCCTGATGGGTCTATCTGGCCCATCATGGCCTCCTGGGCTGTAGCTCAGTGGTGGAGCACCTGTCTCACATGCAGAAGGTCCCAGGTTCAATCCCCAAGGACATCTCCAGGTAGGATGGAGGATGTCCCCTTCCTGAAACTCTTGGAGAGCTACTGCCAGTCAGTGCAGGCAATACTGGCTGGCTGCTCTGATTCGGCCTGTGGACCTGTGGGAATATAATGGGGAGGCGGAGAACCATGTCTGCCACCTTGAGCTCTCTGGAGAAAAGGTGGGAGATAAACGCAGCAATAAAAGGAAAGGAATTCCAACTATCTCCATTGGGAATAGTTTCCTTTATCTGGAATCTACAACCACAGCCCAATTCTGATCGAAAATGAGACAGTGCCTGAGCTAAGCAGGAGTTTGGCAGGATAGGAAAATGGTCAAATGAATTTATTTCCGCTTGGGAGGATGTGACTTAGCTCTGAAGCTCCTGACATTCACCTTCATATATTTCAAAGAATATCTCTCTCTCGTCCTTGGTATCCAGGCGGAAAGTCTCAGGGAAAAAGTCCTCCATTCTCAAAACCCTGCAAAAGCCCAGGATAAGAAGAAGCGGTTGGAACTTGCATGCTCCTCGTGAAGGGATCTGCGCCTCTCCAACTAAGGATGGGCGAACAACCTCCCAGTTTGGGTTTCTCCTTTTACCAATATTCAGTTAAGTTCTCCATATTTCCACACCTGTTTGCCATTTGTTTAGTTACCTTGAAAGCCCTCTTGAAAACCCACCAGCGAATTTCTCCTAATACGCCCTCGTTTGTATGCAATTCTGCCTGACGTACACATTTCCACAGAGCCATTTCCCCTAATACAATGCATTTTTTTTGTATGGTCTTGGCAGAAATAAAAAGGTAAAGGGACCCCTGACCATTAGGTCCAGTTGTGGCTGACTCTGGAGTTGCGGCGCACATCTTGTTTTATTGGCCGAGGGAGCCGGCATACAGCTTCCGGGTCATGTGGCCAGCATGACTAAGCCACTTCTGGCGAAGCAGAGCAGTGCACGGAAACGCCGTTTGCCTTCCCGTTGGAGCGGTATCTATTTATCTACTTGCACTTTGACATGCTTTTGAACTGCTAGGTTGGCAGGAGCAGGGACCGAGCAATGGGAGCTCACCCCATTGTGGGGATTTGAACCGCCGACCTTCTGATCGGCAAGTCCTAGGCTCTGTGGTTTAACCCACAGCGCCACCTGCATCTGCAATCAAATGCATGGTTTACCCTAGTCTGTGCACCTTTTGCACACATTGCTTGGGTTGAGAGCTGCACTGCAAAATTCAGGGCAGACTTTGAAGGATTGCTGTGTTTCGGTTTCCGTATTGTTTCAGAAAGTGTTCTACTTTTTATTACGTTCTGTATTTTTAATAGATATACTGCAAACTGGCCTGTGAGCCTCGGACGAAGGGCAGTATATAAATTTAATTAATAAAAATAATATAAATAGGTTTGCTTTTAAATGGAAACTGAATCCAGTTTATTCCACACACCCTACCCCAACACTGTCAAAACACTAGGTCCATATTTCTAGGGGGGCCCACTGCTGACATGCCCCCCCCCCAGTGTGGAAATTGGGCAACTTTCCTCTTCAGCCAAGGCAGTTCATAAACCTCCATACCCTCAGCTATGTGTCACATGATTCCTCATGATGTGATCCCAACCAATCAGCGAACACAATGATGCCACAAAGCCAAATAGCTCCAGATTTGAAACCCTGTCACACGCTGACATCTGGATTTGAGGTTTTGAATGTCGGCACAGACTACATTCTGTTCTGGAAAGTTGGCTACAGCTGGGGGATGTTTTTTGCAGGGTGCGTGGGAGAGGCAATTAGATTATACCTACTGCCCATAGTCAATTTTTTTTTTACTAAACTTTGTCCCTGAGGCGTCTCCTGGCCTCCTAAAGCAAACATCACCCATTACTGGGAATATAGCTACCAAGAAGCAAGAGAGGATTTTGCAGCCTGTGTAATTTTTGCAAATTCTATGCATATTTTCACCTTCTTTTGCATAATGTTGCGATGTTTGCTTTTGCTGCACTTAATAATTCACTACAGCTGCACCATATGCTCCCCAGTGAATAGTTTTGGCATCAAAAGGGAGCTGTTAAAGGAACAACACCCCCCCCAAGAACCCCCACTACCAATCAAGTCATCTTCCTTTTTATGCCCAATGATAAATGCCACTCTGCTGCCCCCTCTACATGCCCCTCATCTGCCCAAGGGCCACAGTCCTTTCTAGGCAAGATTCTGGGGGCCGCATTACAGTGGTGGGCAGAGTCAGATGAAAAATGAGTGGGGCAAGCCATGTGAATGTTATCTTTGTATGGTAGGCTACACATGCATACCAACACCCTTCTCTAGCCTCCAACCAGCTGAGAAAGAAGCATTATGTGGGTTCGAGGACAAATTCCAGCCAGGCAAAAACACTCAAGGAGATTGTGAAGCAGGCCCAGCGAGGGGCGTGGTTTGGCGAGAGGAAGGCGTGGCCTGTGGAACTTCCCGAGGGCCCGATTAGAGAGGGCTAGAGGGCCACGTCTGGCCCCTCTTGAGCTCGAGACCCTTCCCCCTTGAACAACATAAGGCGCAGGGAGGCTGTGCTTAAGAGTTTAGGGCTCACTTTGTGGTCCTGCTGATCTTCTTCATCACCCGTTCATACTCCCTCAAGTTCATCAAAAGGCCGATCTTGGTAGTGAGGATCTTGTTGTTAGAGATCTGGTAAAGAAGCTGCTCTCCTGCAAAGGGAGGAATAGCGAGAGCCAGGGTGGAGCATGAAGGCTGGGTCAACCTCTCTCACACGCAACACGTCCTTTATTGATAACCTTTGGGCCAAGCCCAACAACAAGGGTGCAGAGAGCCTGCCGACTCCAGCTGCTGCTGGACTGCAGGGGTGCCAATGAGAATAAAGTATTGTGGGGGCCAGGTAAGCCCCGCCCCACATAATCGATCACATGACATGGTGCACACACACCATTTGAATGGGAATGCTCATCAGCTTTTCTGCATTGTAGGGAGTTAGACTCTATGGTGTTCATGGTTCCATTCCAACTCTATGATTCTCTGAAGAACAGCACCCATCAGGCTGTAGCTAATGGTAGTCAGTAGACCCACTGATATGAATAGACCTCAGTTAGTCATGTCCATGGATTTCAATGGGTTTGAAAATCATCCCTGACCACTCGTCCTGTTGGCTGTGGTTGATGGAGGTTCAGCAACATCTGCCGAGCCTCAGGTTCTCCACTCCCGTGCCCTAAGACCACTAGGGAAAAGGTCTTTTTGGTGGTGGCTCCCCCAGGCCTCCTTACCTTCTCTGAAGTTGAAATAGGTGTCCCGGCACTTAGTCTCACACCACTTCAGGATGTAATCATCCCTCCGGTTGTCATAGATACGCTGCCAGCCTTTGTTCTTGCAGAAGGCGTTCAGTCTGCTCAGAGGAAGGAGAGAAAACAATGAGGTCCAGCAACTTGTTGGGTTTTTTAAAAATAAAGAACGGCAGCAGCCCTTGCCTTCACCCTCAGAAGAGTCTGGCTACTGGATCAGGCCAAAGGCCCATCTAGTCCAGCCTGCTGTTCTCACAGGGGCCAATCATCTGATGGCTGCAGGAAGCTGGGGATGAAGGCATCAGCCCTCCTTCACTCATAAGAACATCAGAAGAGCCATTCCCTGGGGGATTCCCTGGTCCTGAATGGGGTAACTGTGCCCCCGAAGGACCAGGTGCGCAGCCTGGGAGTCATTTTGGACTCACAGCTGTCCATGGAGGCACAGGTTAATTCTGTGTCCAGGGCAGCTGTCTACCAGCTCCACCTGGTACGCAGGCTAAGACTCTACCTGCCCGCGGACTGTCTCACCAGAGTGGTGCATGCTCTTAGTTATCTCCCGCTTGGACTACTGCAACGCGCTCTACGTGGGGCTACCTTTGAAGGTGACCCGGAAACTGCAATTAATCCAGAATGCGGCAGCTAGACTGGTGACTGGGAGTGGCCGCCGGGACCACATAACACTGGTTCTGAGAGATCTGCATTGGCTCCCAGTACGTTTCCGAGCACAATTCAAAGTGTTGGTGCTGACCTTTAAAGCCCTAAACAGCCTCAGTCCTGTATACCTGAAGGAGCGTCTCCACCCCCATCGTTCAGCCCGGACACTGAGATCCAGCGCTGAGGGCCTTCTGGCGGTTCCCTCATTGCGAGAAGTGAGTTTACAGGGAACCAGACAGAGGGCCTTCTCGGTAGTGGCGCCCATCCTGTGGAACACCCTCCCTTCAGATGTGAAGGAAATAAGTAGGTATCCTATCTTTAAAAGACATCTGAAGGCAGCCCTGTTCAGGGAAGTTTTTCAATATTTAAGGCTGTATTGTTTTTAATACTTGATTAAAGTATTAAAGTAAAGAGTGGCTGGGGAAACTCAGCCAGATGGGTGGGGTATAAATAATAATTTTATTTATTTATTTATTATTATTATTATTATTATTATTATTATTATTATTATTATTATTATTATTATTTTCCCCAGGAATATAATAGGGAGACAGCCAGGACTGACATCACTTGTGACTTCAATCACTAAGTTGAAGAGGTTGCTTCTCCCTCCTCCCTCCTCTTCCTCTTTCCTTGTGTGCTGTGTCTGTTTTACACTGTGAGCAGAGGCCCTGAGGACTAAAGGGTAGCATAGAAATGCTGTCAATAAGGAACTACAAGACTCTGGGGAGCCACAGGAAGAAGCACCCATGACGGAGGGGCAATTCTTTCTGCAGGCGTCCTTACATATCGATTCCGTTTGCTCCTCCAATATAATAAAAAGGACCCAGGTTGGGAGGCTCCTCTGGCTTCTTCTCCTCTGGGTGATTCATTCGGGGTGATGCTTTGGGAACAACTTTCTGCCCTTTGGGTTTGGTTTCGTTTGCCAGCTCCCCTTCGGCTAAGTTGGAATTGCCTGGAACCAAGAGAGAAAAGCATGGGGGAGTCAGGTGGCTCCAGGAAGCCCACAGGTGGGGCATGAAGGCAACAGCCCACCCTCGCTGTCATGCATACAACCCTCAGAAGGACCTGGCTGGATCAGGCCAGCATCCTGTTCTCACAGTGGCCAACCAGATGCTTCTTATGGGAAGCCCAAAATCTGGTCCTGAGCACAACACTCCCCGTTGGTGATTCCTGGCAACTGGGATTCAGGGGCCTCCTGCCTCCAGCTGTTGTGGGTGGGCCACCGAAAGCTTGATGGGCCTGGTGTGACCTTGCCAACCCTGCTCTAAAGTACCGTATTTTTCGCTCCGTAAGACACACCTGACCATAAGACGCACCTAGTTTTTAGAGGTGGAAAACAATAAAAAAAATATTCTGAACGAAAGAGTGGATGTATGATTTTTGTGGCTCATGCTGTGGCCACAGACATGTTATGTGATTTGACAGTGAGTTTGGGTTAGCCCAATGCAAAAATCCTGAGGATCCATGGGGATCCGTGCTTTGTAACCACGATTTTGCGCCATTGTGGCCCCACGAAACAATGGATGTGTGGGTTTTTTTGGTGCAGGCTGTAGCCATGGACATGCTATGTGAGCCGATGGTAAATTTGCGGTGACCCAATGCAAAAATCCTGAGGATCCATGTGCTTTTACCTCCCCCCTCCCAGGCAGCCTACTTTATCGCTAGCGTCCCTTATCTCCCTCCTGATCGCTTGCCGATCAGCTACTCAGTGGCTTCCTTTCAACACCCCCTTCACTCTTGTTTGCCTTAGCGTCTTTTCCTTAGCTGGAGCAGTTTTTTGCTCCTCCTTTTTTTCTAATTTCTCTCCTCATTGCTTGTTTTAGTATTCCTGTCTCCTCTCCTTGCAAGTTCGCTGTCTTTACTCCCCCCCCCACTCCTCCGGCAGCCTCCTTTACCCGCAGCCTTATCTCCCGCCCAATCGCTTGCCGATCAGCTGCTCAGCAACTTTGTTTCAACACCCGCTTCCATCTTTCTAAAAAAACCCACCACAATCTGTTTTTTGCCCCTAGGCAATTTGGCTCCAGGGACCACGCATTTGCCCCATAAGACGCACAGACATTTCCCCTACTTTTTAGGAGTAAAAAGTGCGTCATATGGAGCAAAAAATATGGTATGTGCTCCCTGCCAGAAGAGACCCTTTCCCCAGATACGCTTGCTTTGACGCCCATGTTCACAGGTCTCCGCTGAGCTGTTCAAAGTTCACAAAGCGTTCAAGGAAGGCAGAGTCTGCTCTCCAGAGACCAGGGTGTGGCATCGTGCCAATTAATTTGGGGAGGGGGTCGTTGCAAGTGTGCGACGCCCAGGATGAGAGTCGGCTCCATCAGGTCGGAACTAATTGGCCGTTGCCTCTTTGAAGGCCTCCCATTCTCATGCTCGAGTCCTTTGTGAGAGCAACGCCAGCTTCGCTTTACACATGCAGGCAGCCAGATATGGGTCTGGGTTTGGGGACAGTGTGGGTCGGGGAGGAGTGGAGCAGGGAGGGCACATTGGGGGAAGCAAGAGGGTGCCTACTGCTTTGCTTCTCTGGCTGCAAGTCTTTGTCAGTTTGGCTTTCAAACATGCTCATGAATTTCTCCCTTGTACTTGCGACACACTTGGAATCTGCAGAGGAAGAGGAGGAGAGAAAAAGCCATTGGGCCCTGAACCAATACAGTGGTACCTCGGGTTACATACGCTTCAGGTAACATATGCTTCAGGTTACATACTCTTCTAACCCAGAAATAGTACCTCAGGTTAAGAACTTTGCTTCAGGATGAGAACAGAAATCGTGCTCCGGGTACTATTTTTACCTCAGGATGAGAACAGAAATCACGCGGCAGCAGCGGGAGGCCCCATTAGCTAAAGTGGTGCTTCAGGTTAAGAACAGTTTCAGGTTAAGGACAGATCTCCGGAGCGAATTAAGTACTTAACCCGAGGTACCACTGTACTAATAATACCAATACTGACCACAATACTCAAAGATAAATGGTTTTGCGAAAAGACCCATCTCCCCCAACGTTTGCCTTCTAAATTCTGGAGGAGGATTCTGAGGGACGTGGCAGTGGGCTCTTCGTGGTCATTCATATTTTGTGCCTTTTCATTTGGAATTGCTTCAAATCAACATTTCCTCCGTGGTGGCTACACTACTGTTTCTTCAGCACAGCCACACCCACCCTGTATATTTAAAGCACCATAGAATTAGCTGTAGAGCAGGAAGAGACCCCAAGGGCCATCTAGACCAACCCCCCTGCAAGGCACGAAACACAGCGAAAAAATCCCTGACAGAGGGCTATTCAATCTCTGTTTTTATTTTTGGAAAAACATTCTGCATGCAAAGCAAGTGCTCTACCACTGAACTAAGATGTAGGAAGCTGGATTATATGGAGTGAAACTATTGGTTCATCTAGCTTACGATTGTCTACACTGATTGACAGTGCCTTTCCAGGGTTTCAGATAAAGTTCTCTCCCGGCCGTACCTAGAGAGGCCGGGGATTGAACCTGAGACCTTCTGCATGCTCCTCAACTGAGCTGCGGCCCTGCCACTAAGGGAAGAGCTTGTTTTTCAGAGACAGAAAGGGACCGCACACCTTTCTGCCCATTAGCTTGCTCATTGAGTCGACCAGCACCTGATCTGCCAGAGCATTTTGAGAGGCAGAGCGGCCAATTTGCTGCCAATAATGAACAGGAGGCGCCCAAGCCAAGTTATTTAATGAGACACGGCCAGGTTCCAAATCGAGGGCAGCACCAGAAACGCGAGTGGGTGGATTCAATAAAGTTCAGAGAAAGGAGGACAGAATTCTTTGCTAAGTCCTGGAAACCAGGTTGAAAATCTGGGTCACAACTTTCCCCTAGGAACAAAGGAAGCCGCTTTTTGCCATTGGTCCATCGAGCTCAGTATTGTCTACACTGACCGGCAGCAGCTCTCCAGGGTTTCAGGCAGGGGATAATCCCAGTCCTACCTGGAGTTGCTTTTAAGTATTGAACCTGGGACGTCTTGAATGCAAATCTCTGCCGCTAAGCTGTGGCCGTTCCCCAAAAGAAATGCACCCATTGAAGCTTCTGCTTTGAACTTTTGTAATTATCCTGCACTTTCCACTCGGTCTGTTCATGAAATGCAGCCCGAGATCAGAGGTGGTGGTGGTGGGGAGTAATTCAGTTTAGTTTGCATATTAACACCCCCCTACCTAATTTGCGGGGACACGGGTGGCGCTGTGGGTTAAACCACAGAACCTAGGACTTGCCGATAGAGAAGGTCGGCAGTTCAAATCCCCGCGACGGGGTGAGCTCCCGTTGCTCGGTCCCTGCTCCTGCCAACCTAGCAGTTCGAAAGCACATCAAAGTGCAAGTAGATAAATAGGTACCACTCCAGCGGGAAGGTAAATGGCGTTTCTGTGCGCTGCTCTGGTTCGCCAGAAGCGGCTTAGTCATGCTGGCCACCTGACCCAGAAGCTGTATGCTGGCTCCCTCGGCCAATAAAGCGAGATGAGCGCCGCAACCCCAGAGTCGGCCACGACTGGACCTAATGGTCAGGGGTCCCTTTACCTTTACCTTTACCTAATTTGCATTTCGGAAATTCGGACAATCGGTCCATCTAGCTCATCGCCACACTTTTCTGAATTTTGCAAGGCAGTTCTCCAGCCACAAAATGTGGACCAAAAATTTATGCATTGAGGAAAGGTGTCCATAAGAATGCAATTATGAGTGAAAACAAACGAAAATGTATTATATTAGGGAAATTGCTTGCAAAAAAGAGAAAGACAGACATATCAGGCAAATTTGAATAGAGAACTGTGTATATTAAGGGGAATGTACACTGATAAATTTCCGCGGGGATCATTTTTTGAAAAAGAAATATGGCAACTGAAATTGACACTTTTGTCCTTTTCTACCTGAGACTCGTAAAAACTGGCTTGGTCCAGTCTGTGTACATTCACAGTCCAGGAATACTTGGCTGTCCATGTGGAAACCTTTGACTTCTCATAGTTAATAGTTAGATATTCATTTCTACCGTAATCTGCAAATCCAATAAGCAGCTGTCTTAAGCCTCAGATGGATTTCCGAGATTAAAATGCCATTGCTTGGGCAGGAGGTACGCCTGGCTCCAGCCTTGTCATTATTTATGAGCCAGCCCAAGAATATTTTGTTTTGTTTTCCTGGGCATCTGGGCAGCATCACTGATATGATTGTACTGCTAAATCTGTTTTTAATACGTGCGTGTGATTTTATGACCGCATTCTTTACTTGCTTGAAAATCGCTTTGGGAGTTGGGTGGGTTTTATTTATTTTTGGTAATGGGAAGCGATACATAAATTCAATAATCCCACTCAATAAACCTCACCTAACAAAATGGAAGCTTTAGTGGTGCTTTGTTTAGGTGGGCGAAAAGGTACTGAGCCCAAAGTTATGGGACAATCAGCCAAGCACTGAGTAGAACTCATTTGGATAACACAACTTTCCACTGCCTGCTATTAGTATTAGGGGTTTTTTTTAAAAAAATTGTTCATTTATTATTATTTTATTACTGGTTTTTTTGAGGTGGGGTTATTGGGTTGTTTTTTATTTTGATTATATATTTTGTGGTTTTATATTTTGATTTTTGTTCTGTGAACCGCCCTGAGACCTCCGGCTATAGGGTGGTATATAAATTCAAATTCAAATTCAAATTCAAATTCAAATTCAAATTCAAATTCAAATTATTATTATTATTATTATTATTATTATTATTATTATACCATGCTTCATTGGAAGATCTCAGAGGAGTTCACAAGATACAGGATAGAAGCACAAAATAGTTAAAAATGAAAACAAAACAATAAACCTCTCCCACAAACACATTATTCTAATAGTAGTGCCTGGGCTGCCATCCCATCTTTGCCCCACCCTCCAAACTTAGACTCCAAATAAGTTTTCTTTTGCTAATAGAAAACTTTTTTCCAAGCCCAGTTGCAGCATGCGGGTAATTTGAGGTGTGTTGGAGCAAGTGTGGAGCCAGCCCATTGTAGGTGAATGGAGCCCTCTCCCACCATCCTCCACCTGCCTTCATGCAACCAGCCCTGTCCATTCATCTTCTGCCTCCCTTTGGCCCTTGCAGAACTCAGCAGGGAGGGACCATCAGTTGGCGCCACCTGCCATTGGCTCCGGCCCCGCCTGTCATGGGCCCTGGCTCCGCCTACTCTGGGCGCCCCTTCCTCCCTACCAGCCATCACAGGCCCATCTCAGGTTGGTGCGAGAGGCGGTCTCTTTGCTCACCTCTTTGCCTATTGGACGGGGCGCTTTTAACCCTCCGCCTGCCATTTCCCAGGCGTCTTCCCGCCGCGGCTCTCCCCTTGCGGGCCTCACCTGCTTCGGTGTAGTACGGATACCAACGGAAGCCTAAGCTGATGGCGGCTGCTCTTTCACTGGCATCCAAAGGCCTTTCATCCATCCATCCTACATAAGCCAGAGCAATTTGGTCAGAACCCGGCGGGCGCTGGCTCTTGTTTCGAAAGCCAACGCGGCCGAGTGTTTAGAGTGCCAGCCTAGGATGCAGTAGAGACCAGGGCTCAAATTCCCAGCTCCTCAATGACTTTAGGCTGGTCTGTGGTGGGAATGGGGGGGCTCCTAACAGCTCTCAGCACACCTAGCAAACTACAACTCCCAGGATTCTGTGGGGGAAGCCATGATACTGCTTTACGTGTACAGTGCCGATGGGCCCCGGGATAAATATCTCCGCTTACAGCTCTCTCTTTTACGTAATTCCTCCAGTGCCTTGAAGAACAGTTGAATGGAAAGATGTGCAGATCACAAAGTTCCTCTGATGGGCATTCTTATGGTTCAGTCAACCTTTACAAGGGACCAAGCTTGTAATGTGGTGGGCCTTTTCTTGTGGAACTGCCTGCCAATGGAGGTTCAGCAAGATTCATTCCTGCCTTCTTTTGGATGCCTCTGAAAAATTGTGTTATTCAGTCGCCTTTGATGCGTGAATTTCATTTTACCGGCTAGTATTTATCAATGCTTTTAATGGATGTTTATCAGAATAGAACTGTTTATGTGGTATATAGCCTTGCACACGCGCTCTCTCTCTCTGTGTGTGTGTGTGTTGTTGTTGTTGTTTATATATAAAAAGTGTGGTCTATAAGAATTTCAATAAATAAAATTAAAGTGGAGCAGTGATGCCATTGGGCTTCTGGCAGGGGTTCCCAGGATGAAGCTAAGCACAAAATGTAACATAACCTCACTTTGTGGCCAATTTCAAAAATTGAATGGATGGAGGCACAAGCTCTTTCAATGCAAAGTGATGGATTCCACATCGCTAGATGTTTTAAATCAGAAAATGGCTGGCTCCCTCTAGCAGCAGATTTTACCTATCAGGGATCCTGTAGCGAGGATCTTACCAATCAGGGATACTCTCGCAGCAGATTTTACCTGCGAAGGGACACTGTAATAGGGACTTCCTGCATTGGTTAAATGGGATTGGCCTAAATAACCTCTGAGATCCCTTCCGATGGCTCATTGAAGAGTTTGGCACTTTGAGCTGCTCCTTCCCTGCACATCGGCTCATTCAATTATTTAATCAAAGCTCTTGAGCCAAACGTCGCCTGGCCAAGGAAGAATCTCCACTCGAGGCTCATTAGTTCTTTCAACTGCCTCTCGCCGCTTAATGAAGAGGCGCTTTCTGTGTTCAAGAGCAAAGCTGTGTCTTCAAGAAGCAAAGGCTTGCGGAAAATTAAAGAATTCTTTTCAAAAAAAAATCCTCTTGGGGCAGCTTCCTCCAAAGCAGAAACGAGCTTGTCATTCAACTATCCCTTTGCAGGGCCCGGCTCTACCATTAGGCAAGTGCAGAAGCCGCTTCAGGTGGTTGATTTTGGGTGTCGGGAGCGGTTGCCTAATTTATTGCTGCATTTGTGAGGGAGAAGTGCTTGTGGGATTTTCTGCCTGGGGTCCCCCAACCTCCAAAATTGAGGTCCGTGTGTGGCCCCGCTACCCCTTGCCCTTCCGATCCCATTGGGAGGGCAGCCAGAGGTGGGTGCGAGTGGGGTGTCAAGGTGGTTTCTGTTGGGATCTGGGGCTGTGGGGCTGACCTGAGAAGCACGTTGGTCTTCGAAGTGTCAAGAGAGGCGGGAAGCTGTAGAGCTTCTTCTTGCAGACCTTTTGTGAAAGGGGAGTCGGTGTTGAGGCTCCTTCCCGCTCCGAAGCCATATCCTCTAGAAGCTGACTTGCACGCAGATCATAATGGGGAGGCTGTGATGTCACCTGTTGACTCAGGTGCCCTGCCCTCTCCAGAACTCTCCCCTGGCTGGCCAAGCGAGGAGGGGATGTGACTGGGAACCTGGCTCTGCTTCCATCCTGTGAAAAGCCGCTGCCAGTCAGAGCGGGCAGTAATAAGATAGCTGAGCCTTCTGGGTAAGGCAGCTTCCTTCAGTGGGCAGAGCACCTGCCTGGCATGCAGAAAGTCCCAGGTTTAATCCCCAGGTAGTGCTGTCCCCTGTCAGAAACCCTGGACAGTCACTGCCGCTCAGTGCTGACAATACTGGGCCATGGGCCTGAATCCACAATTTGTTCATTTAATATGGGTTGCAGTCAATTAAGTCCTACTCGGAGTGCACCAGTTGGAATTAAGTTAATCATGGGCACAGGTTTCAGTGGGTCTACTCAGAGTTGTTGTTGTTGTTATTTACTTATACCCCACACGTCTGTCCGGGCCTCTCTCCAGCCACTCTGGGTGGCTTCCAGTAGGATATTAAAAACACAATAAAACACCAGTCATTAAAAACTTCCCTAAACAGGGCTGCCTTCAGATGTCTTCTCAAAGTCAGAAAGTTGTTTATTTCCTTGACATCCACAGGGCGGGTGCCACTACCGAGAAGGCCCTCTGCCTGGTTCCCTGTAACCTCTTTTCTCGCAGGGAGGGAACCGCCAGAAGGCCCTCAGAGCTGGACCTCAGTGGCCAGGCTGAATGATGGGGGTGGAGAAGCTCCTTCAGGTATACTGGGCCGAGGCTGTTTAGAGTAAGGTTGGCATTGGGTACAAAATGGCAGTGGTCATCCCCTCATGCAATCGAGAAGGGTTTCCTGTTTTCGTTCAGCATCGATGCTGTACCTTGATGCTTTAACAGGCTAAGCAGATGGTGAGAGTCCTCCGCCCTCTAGGAGCTTACAGTCTAACGTTTTAACAGCCAATGGAGAGAGAGACAGGAAGGACAGAAGAGGCCAGAGGAGTGGCAGTGAGGAAAATAAATTACACCTCCCTAGGCTTCAGGCCAGGATGAAGGTTTATGCCAAAAGCACTTGGGGAGGGCGCTTTAAGAGAGCTCCATTTCCAAAATCCAGTATGTCCATTAGGGATGAGTGAATCGGTCCATTTTGATTCATCTGCGTTTTGCATTTTCCCAGCCTTTAGCTCAGTTCTCTGCATCGGTTGCGATGGCTTCTCCCCGCATGAAATCTTGTATTTTGAAGCACGGCTTTTTGTGCTGATCGCACTCCTGCCTGCCTGTCCCAATGTCCCCCACGGTATGCCAAACAACCCGTTCAGATTCCTCGCCCCCGCTGTGTAGCAAGCACAACAAATGTCAAAGAAAAGCCTTTATAGTTCTGCGGTTCCAGTCTATGCACTCTGCCTTAGCTGAAGGCCGCTATCGACGGATCCCCTATGAAGAGAGCATTTGCCCATGTGCAGGGGGAATGCGCCTGAAGATTTACTAGGCTACTTACTGGTTTTCCAATCTGTGAGGATTCATGAGCAGTCTTGTTCAAAGATTTAAATCTCCCAGTTGAGAAATCAACTGGATACAACTGGGTATCTGATCAATTTTTTATTAGGGAGCAGGTCACTCTACAGTTCTGAAAAGGTGGCCTGTGCTGCCTTTAGAGTGGCAATTTTAAGGAGAAAAGTTTGTGGGGATGATCAGTGAAATTTTTCAGAGGAGCAAACTCTTATCTGACGTAATGTCTGGCTTTCACGATTATTTTAACTGCATACTGTGATTTATTCTGCTTTATGCGTTTTGGGTTTCTGCAACGGCTTCAGCCACACAAATACTGTAGTTTTTGCTCTATAAGACTCACTTTTCCCCTCCTAAAAAGTAAGGGGAAATGTGTGTGCGTCTTAGGGAGCGAATGCAGGCTGCGCAGCTATCCCAGAAGCCAGAACAGCAAGAGGGATTGCTGCTTTCACTGCGCACCGATCCCTCTTGCTGTTCTGGCTTCTGAGATTCAAAATATTTTTTTTCTTGTTTTCCTCCTCCAAATCTAGGTGGGTCTTGTGGTCTGGTGCGTCTTATAGAGCGAAAAACACGGTAAATAATATTCATATTCACATCTGTGTGTGGGGTTTTTAAGTCCTCATGGAAATTTGTCTGCATTTCAGTGCAAATTTCTCCTAACAGACACATTTTTCTTTGCAGTTTTGCCTAATCTGCCTAGTATTTCAAGGCATAAATATTTATATTTTCCCAGATGTTATCTTCACAAACATACACATTTTCATACATGCTTTATCCTAGTACAGTGGTACCTCGGGTTACAAACACTTCGGGTTACAGACTCTGCTAACCCAGAAGTAGTACCTCGGGTTAAGAACTTTACCTCAGGATGAGAACAGAAATCGTGCGGCGGCGGCAGCAGGAGGCCCCATTAGCTAAAGTGGTGCTTCAGGTTAAGAGCAGTTTCAGGTTAAGAATGGACCTCCAGAACGAATTAAGTTCATAACCAGAGGTACCACTGTATACGCATTTTTGTTCCCATTGGTTGGCTGGATAAATGCACCACAACATTCAGAGAAGTGCAGATTTTGAAGGATGGTTGATTCAGCTCACTTCTGGTTTTAGAAAGTGCAGGTTTGCTAGACTCTCCTTTAAATGCAAACTGAACCAAATTTCTCTCTCCCGTCTCAAATATCCTTGTGTAGACGGCAGTGCTGAAATATGGCTCACCGTGTGCAGCTAGTTTGATCTCTATGCAAACAGAGGTTTGCATAATGACTTAATCACTCCACTACCTATTTTCTTATTTTGCATACTTTATTAATTACTGTCTCCTCCAGGGCGTTCAGCTTATAATTATGTGACTTTCCTCCTTTGCAGATCAACATAAGTGAACAACAGCAAAGATCGTGCTGTCATAAGCAGCTGCTTCAGTTGGATCGGTCCTGAATTCGAGGGCTGGACCTGGCTTTTGCCCTGATCTGAATTTAACCCCTGAGTAACCCCTGTAGTGAGGATGCCTGTGTCTCTTCGCCCCACCCTCCATTACATTCTTACACCAGTGGAGCTTTCAAGGTGTACCCAAACAACCTGGGATGTTCTGGGGCTCCCTCAACCCAATCTTGCTGAATTCTGGGTTGATCCAAATCAGTCTGATTTGGTTCGGGATCCAGGATTTGGCCAGATCTGGTACATAGTAACCTCCCTGGGATTTGTGGGTATAGGAAAGTAAACAAATTTAAATATTAATATCAGCAACAACAACAACTCAACATAGTCCCACTAAATTCCTTTTTAACCCTGCACTGTGATAATCAGAGGAAGCTGAATATGTTATACCCAAGATGTGTTGTATAACAAACCGACCAGAGCCCTAATTAACACTAGCCTCGCCCTCAGATTGATTCAGGACTGACTGAGTCTGGGTTGGGTGGTCCCAGGTCCAGCCCAGGTCCCAGTGATTTGGGGGTCTGGATCAGGGCCCTGGATCAGGTCTGTTCTGCATGCGCAGCCCTAGTATTTATATTCCACTCATATAAGGGGTATAACATTAACTTGGCAAAGTTTGTTTAGGTTGTTTGTTATATTAACCCCAGAATACCCAAATGTGTATCTTGTTTGTGTGCGTGTAATTTTCATTTTCATTTAATTACATTGTTTTCTCTCTGTGTATCTCTCTGTCAATACACTATTGAATTTTTATTTTTAAAGGGAATATCATACTCTGCCCTTCAGCCAAAACAGCTTACAGATTTATTTATTTTTAACCTACAGTCCTTGCCTTTAGGCTTACAATCTAAGAAGGCATGACACATAAGGAAGAAGGGAAGAGGGGGGCAGAGGAAAATGAGAGAATGCATGAGAAGGACACATGGGACCAACTGCATATCCTTGATGCAAACACAGCAGCCATGTCTGAATAGCTGCTGTGGGCTGATTTTTTAAACACCTCTCTCTTTTTTTGCTTCTTTTCTCACACACCCCTCCACCTCCATTGCTGCTCCTGGTCGTCCCCCCCCCCATTAAGAGCCATTTTGAGACACTCTATCCTGAAACCCTGGCTCGAGAGATACACACATCAGTGACAGGAGGCGCGAGAGGGGAAGGAGCTCCCGTTCCGTTGAAACACGTCCCCGTCTCTGCCTAATACGGGGAGGCTCTGTAATTACAAACATAAGGAGATCAAAGAGGGCTGTCCCCCGGGATTCTTCCCTTTCAAGATTAAAGACGCACTTTCAGGCTCGCTGTATATATTTTGACACACATTATTAAAGCATAAGCCCCCAACCTTTCTCCCTCCCAGACTTTGCATTTGTAGTTTCACACACCCCCTCTCCACCTCTCTTGGTGGCTAATTATTACCACAATCGTCCCCACCCCCTCTGTCGTGTATTCAAAGTATTAATTTGGGTTTTAAAAATACCAGCTGCTGGTTGTGTTGTTGGGCATGTACCGTTCTGGCTTTTATCTTCCGTTGTGGCGAAAGAGGAGAGCAAGCACTGAGTTCAGGTGCTAGACTGTACAGTAAAGAGCAATGACTTTCCTTAGACTTGTCCTCTCTTGAAATGTCTCCTTTTTTCAAGCCCTAAAATTTAGAAATTAAGACTATCTACTTAACATCCTGTGCTCAAACTGGAGATGCAACACTAAGCATGACAGGCAAAGCGCTGGGAAGCCTTGTAGGCCCTTTGGGGATACGCTACTGCGTAAATCCATGTTTAACATGGCACAACATGAGGGCTAACAGCTCCCTCCATTTGAGAATGGGAAGCAAGGGGTTATATCCTGTTCTAGTCCCGCTCAGAGCAGACCCATTGAACTCAACTGGCAAACCAAGGTTCAGTAATTTCAGTGCGTCAACAGAATACCACCCAAAAAGTTTGGTCAGAGGTTTTGAGTTTGGAATCATCTTATATAAACTGAAGCCAGACAGATGCTCTACTCATAGGGAGGAGGCAGCCAGGCAATGTGGGAAATCCAGATGGCAGCTAGACCCAGCAACCCAGCGCAGCTCCAAGGACTGAGCCAGGGCAGATAAATTAATGGTGGACCCTGTCAAGTGGTTTGACCCAAGGAGCTGTCCAATGCTACCAGGTGCTGATTCCATCTCTGATCCCTAACCAGCTGGTATTGCATTGGTTCTGCCTGCAAAACTTTTGTTCTATAAGGCAAATGAGTACTGGAGTCTGAAAAGCAGTCAAATCTGCATTCTGCTCTGCCCTGGATCTCCTCCGCCTCCTGATTCCATCCAGTTTCCAACAGAGACCCAGCAGACTGTGCCGCCCCTGAGCCCACATGGTTCTACCTTGGCTCCGCCCTAACCTGGGCTCCGCCTCTCCCAGCTGTATGTCAACTCTGGGGGAAAGGCCAAAGGCCAAAGGTCACCGGTTCCATCCCTGGAGCCTTCAGTTAAGAGAAAGGTTGTCTGTCCAGAATTTGAAATGTTGCACTCAAGGGAGAGGAAAGGTTGATGGGAAGGCCACTGTTGAGTTGTGGCTACTGCTAGACCTCCTCAAAGCAGACTCTCTGAAGTTACCATATTTTTCGCTCTATGACGCACCAGACCATAAGACGCACCTAGTTTTTGGAGGAGGAAAACAAGAAAAAAAACATTCTGAATCCCAGAAACCAGAACAGCAAGAGGGATCGCTGCGCAGCGAAAGCAACGTTCCCTCTTGCTGTTCTGGCTTCTGGGATAGCTGCGCAGCCTGCATTCGCTCCGTAAGACAGACACACATTTCTCCTTACTTTTTAGGAGGGAAAAAGTGAGTCTTATAGAGCAAAAAATATGGTAATCATCATGACTAACTCCCCATGCAGGGAGGAGGAAGCCAAGCAAGAAACGCCCTCCGCCTCCTTCTCCCAGCGGTTTCTCCCACTGGGCGTGACCCCAATGTGGGGGTCAACCTGGTGCCCCTGCCCCAATTGGTCTGGCTGGCAGAGGCAGTGTGCCTCTGAATGGCAGTTGCTGGGAAATGCAAGTCAGTAGAGCTCTGTTGCATGCAGGTCCTGCTTGCAGGGTTCCCAGAGGCATTTAGTCTGCCACTCTGAAAACAGGAGGGGCCTTTGGTCTGATCCAGCGGGGCTGTTCTTATGAATAGCAGTGAGAGGGGGCTGCTGCCTTCATGCCCCACCTGGGGGCTTCCTGGAGCCATCTGATTGGCCACTGTGGGGAAACAGGATGTTGGGTCCAGACGGGCCTTTGGCTTGATCCAGCAAGGCTCTTCCTATGTTCTCATGTTGCCAGGTGGCCTCAAATTATTCCATTGTTTCAAACTCAATTTCTGCACAGTTCCAGGTGCTATTCCTTTTATTCAAATGTCTCCAACCTGCACTCTTTTGCGATAAACCAATATCCACTTTATTGCCAGGACTGTAATAGGACAATTAGCAAACCAATATTGCCAGGGAAATAAAATAACAGGGCTTTGTCTTTGTCTTTTTGCATTTTTATAGCATACAAATATTTGTGGCGCGCACACACACCTGCCCCTCCCCTCTAAAAAACCCCCTCAGCTAAATTGCCCTATTAATGAAGCTACCATCTTCGCTTCTAGCCAAATTGCCTGCTAATGGGACCTGTTTTTATATACCCCTTCCCCATATTTCTAATTTGCTCTTTTATAAGTCTCACTTGGACGATTTCGGTTTTATGAAGTTCTTGGCAAGGGGAGGGAGAACGAAGCCTCTGCCTTTTTTCTTTTTTGCCTTTTTTTGATAGACGCTGAGCGGATATGTGGAATACAATCCCAAAACTGATTCACTTGAGATGAAATGCATGGAAGCAGACCTGGTGCGTCCCATGAATATCAGCCTCTGGCAATGCCCACCGATCTGCCACCTTATCTACTGGCAACTGGAAGCACGAGTTGTACAGTATAATGTGCCATTTTTGCAGCTCCCTTTTCAGACATTGTCTTGCTGGCCTGCCTGACAACAGAAGTCATCTGGGCCAGATGATCCCACCTCTCATCCTCCATGGGCTGTTCTGGGGGTTTGTCAAATCTCCCAAGCAGCTCTGAGGGGGGCACAAGGGAAAGACAGGGGAGAGAGTCATGTTGTGCTAGCAGATTCTGTTGCGCTGGCTTCCATTAGTGCAGCAACTTAGTTGACTCTGCCCCATTGGGTTGTATCCAGTGCTAGTCTTACCCAGAACAAACCCACTGAAGTCAACAGACCCAAGTTAGCCATGTCCATGCATTTTAATGGGTCTACTCTGAGTAGGATTAGCATTTGGTGCAAGCTATAAGGTTGTGTCCAGTGTTAATCCTCACCCTGTTTTTTGGTGGTAATATTTTAATGGAAGTTTTTAGACCCTTCAAACTGTATTTTCCATTGTCACAACTTGCCCTGGGACAGGCCTCAAAGTGGAAGGCGGGTAACAATTTAAGAGAATAATGACACTTGGGGTTTCATTTTTTTTCCTAAAGGGTGCAAGCAGCCTGTTGTGTGGACGCCACTTACAGGGTAGGAGGGATGGTTTTCAGAGAGGGCAACCAAAGCCAAAAGTAGGGTGGTGTCATGGGCAGATCGGACACTGAGGAACAGTGGGAAGAACCAGCTGAGGAAGCCCCAAGGGAAGAAGGCTTGGAGCCCAGGAAGTGGTGGTGGGACAACAGGGAGTCCCGGAGAAGACTGGGAAGAGGAGGTGTTGGAAGCTGAGGAGGTAGCAGGGCTTTGTGAGCTGGGAGAGTCCAGAATCAGGGGCGGACATGAAGCAGGGGAGTAGGAGGAGGAGGCAAAGAGGCAGAGATGAGTCAGGCTGGTGAAGAGTCAAGGGTGTCTCCCCCTCCTGCTGCGACAAGCTCCCACTCCTCTGTCTCCCTCGGACCACTCCTCATTGCCCCACTACCTTTGGTGGTTCCCCAGCTGGTTTCTCCCACCATTCCCCTGCGCCCAACCAGTAGAGGTGAGGTGGGCATTGCTAGGGTCGGTTGTCCTCCCCCCGCACCCTGCTTTTCTATCTAACCCAGGATTCTCCTGGTGCCACCCCTGGAGATCCCTCAAGGGCTCTGATTACCTCCTCGTCCTCTGCGCTTCTTCCTCTGCTTGCCAGCGCCGCCGGCTAAGACCCCCTTGGGGTTTACCTTCGAGATGGAGTGGGACATGGGGAGTGGGTTTCTGATGGAGTGCTGAGTGGGCCCGGGCGGCCTCGCCTCTGCGCCGGCTTCCTGGCCATGAGCAGGACCCTCCTCACACCCTCCTTCCTCCTGGGCCGAGCTCCCCTCCAGCGAAACGTCGCTGCCTCCCGCCCTCGGGCCTGCAGCCTCCAGCGGGGTCCTTTCCGGAGACGGTCTCTGGGCTCGGCCAGTCCCTATAACCGGGTCTCCTTTAACTGGGTTTGTCTCAAGGTCCCCCAAATTCATTCCGGAGGGACTCTGGAGGCCCAAGGCCTCCGCTTGCTCACTGCTGCTCAGTTCAAAGTTGCTGACTGTCTCCGCGATGGGCTCCAGTCTGATGGCCATCTCTTCCGACCTCAGCGGAGGCTGCGGCCTGCTTTCCTCAGCGCCCACATCCTCGCCTTGTTCGCTTGGAAGACAGAAGATTGATCGCTTGCTGGGGAGCTCCATGGCCGACGCCCATCTGTGCTCCGGACAGTGGCTGTGGAAACAACCAAAGAGGAACTGCAAGTTCAGATAGCAATGGAGCCAATGCGGAAGAGACCAGGGTTTGAATCCCTCACCCCGCTGTGAAGCTCACTGGAGTGGCCTTGGGGCAGTTCCTGCCTCAGCGTGGGGCCTACCCTACAGGGTTGTTGTGGCAATAAAATGGGGAGAGAACCATGCCTGCCACCTTGAGTTCCTTGGAGGAAAAGATGGGATATAAATCTAATCCATTACCAACCAACCAACCCTCACTGCCTAGAGATGGATGGGTCTGTCAATTTCGCTTCTCTGTCTCCTCAATTTTCAAATCTTAAACCCAGTTCTCCACATTTCTGTGCCAATCTGAGATGTGTGTGTGTGTTTTTTTAATCCTTCTAAAATCGCACCAACATTTTAAGGAAAAGAATCTCCTAATAAGACACACACACACATTTTTTGCATGCAGGTTTGCCAAATAGACACATTTCTGTGAAGCCATTTTCCAAAATATAATATATTTTTATACTAATATACACATTCTAATGCGCACCTTACCCTGGTAGATGCATTTTAGTACACATTGCTTGGCTAGAGAGCTGAATTGCAAAATTCAAAGTGTGAATTTTGAAGGATGCCTACGTTTCAGTTTGCAGAATTATTATTATTATTATTATTATTATTATTATTATTTCAATTTGTATGCTGCCCTTCATCCATAGATCTCTGGGCAGTTCACAACGTGTTGTTTGGAAAGTGTGAATCAGAGTTTGCCCTTAAATGTGAACTGAATAGAATCCTGCCCACCCCAATTCTGCCACATGCCATAATAGTATGTTAGTGGTAGATTTATACTGAACAGTCCATACTCTGGCCACATTCACACCATATGTTTAAAGTGCAGTAATACCACTTTAAACAGCCCAAAGAATTCTGGGAGATGTGTTTTGCACAGAGTGCTGAGAGTTGTTAGGAAACCTCCTATTCCCATGAAAGAACTACAGTTCCCAGAGTTCCCTGTGAAGAGGGATTGGTTGTTAGGCCACTCTGGGAATTGCAACTCATGAAGGGAATAGGGCTCTCCCTAGACACTACACAACTAGATGGCCCAATGGTCTGACTCCCCAACAGCCTTCTGCGTTCCCATTTCCTAATGGAAGAGCCAAAGCTCAGTAGCAGAGTATCTGCTTTGCATGCAGAAGGTCCCAAGTTCAGTCCCTGGCATCTCCAGCTAGGGCTGGGAGAGACCCCTGCCTGAAACCCTGGAGAGCTGCTGCTGCCAGTCAGTGTAGACAGTACTGAGCTAAGCAGACCAACGGTCTGACTCAGGGTAAGGCAGCTTGCCTATGTGATAAATAAAGACCCAACCCAAACAGAAAGCAAAGTAACAGAAGCTCTAACCTTAACTTGGCACGCCCTAAGTGCTTTAATAAAGCATTTGTGGGTTTGTATTCCAGCCGAGCCATACGGAAGTCTAAAGCCGGCCAAACTCCCTGCTTCCCAAGCAGGCTCGGAGTTTCGGAGACTCAGCGTGTGTTTTTTGCTCTGCGCTCAGGCGACACCAGCGTCTCAAGCGGCCCAGCCCTGGCACTCTGAGCATCTATAGGCAGCAAACTATTTTCCCTCTTCCTGGGCAGCTCAAAGGCAGGTCTCAGTACTATCAACAAGGGCCAGTCGCCTAGCAACTGCTGCTTAGGAACTGTTGCTAGAATTGTGAAGGATTTCCTGCATTAGTGAGCAGGCTTGATTTCTGCCCCGGGGACTGTGTGGTGCATGTGTCTGAGGGCTCCAGCTTTGCAGTGGCACAGTGGGCTCTTCTGAGTCCCGGCAGGCCTTTGCCCGGCCTCCCACAATGCCCTGGGTCAATGCGAGCCAGAGGCATTGTGGGAAATCAAAATGGCAGTCAGTACTGGGCCAGAGGATGGAACTAAAGGGAAAGTGGGGTGCCCACGCAGATGGAAGCACATAGGCCCTATCAGAACAGGGCTGGCGCTGGACATCATGAAAAGTCCTCACTACCATGTGCCAGTGGTGTGCCAAGCTTGTTCCAAGGCGTCCCAATAAATTGCCGCAGGAAACATTGCACTCTGGAATGCTGGGAGCAAAAGGCAGAATGACAGCAGGACTCCACAAATCTATACAACGATGCCCTTGGTCCATCAAACTCATTATTGTCTACTCTGACTGGCAGTGGCGCTGCAGGTCTTTCGGACAGGGCACCATTCCCAGCCCTACCTGGGGAAGCTCTGCCCTTCCCCATCCATCACTCATAATGAAAAACAAGTGAGTTTGGAATTGGCTGCGGAAGCCTGAGTGGGCGGAGTCAGTCCGGGGCCTGAAGGTTCTTCGCAGAGAAGGCTGCCACCTGCAGTTCAATGGGTCGCCACACGGGGCAGCTGTGCATAGATCCTGGCAACACCAAGGGCATTGGGAACCTGCTGGGTTTTGTACGGAGCTCTGTGCATGCCCCGTTGGCACAGGGTCCCAGTTCATGTCCCGCCCCCGTTCACATCAGCAGTGCACATTGAAAAGCCGCCACCTCAACAGCCAACTTGATGCGATTGTGCACATGCTCATAGCAAGATTCCTTTGGTGTGAGGTCTCCATGGTCAAACTCTGGAATTCGCTCCTATGGAAGGTAGCGACGGCCACCAACTGGGATGGCTTAAGAAGAGGATTTGGGCTCCCCCATTCTTACCTTTTGCCCTGTGCTTTTTAGGAACAGGTCCATGTTTTAAAGCAGGGGTCGGCAACCTAAGGCCCATGGGCCACAAGCGGCCCATGGGAATCGTTTAACCAGCCCACAAGCTGCCCCCAAACCAAGCCGCCCACTTGGTGAGTCCCCGCACGCTGCGATAAACTTGCGCAGCGTGGCATAGGGACTCGCTTTTGCAGCGCCGGAAATCGCGTCTGCGCAGATGAAAACACCGGAAATTGCGGGCCCACAGAGGGATCTCTGCTGGAGTGAACCGTCCCAGGCAAGGTAAACCTTGCCGACCCTTGTTTTAAAGCACTGTGTCCCAGCGCTTCCTCCCCTGACCCCGCCTCCCCCATGAAAACCTACTCTTTAATACTGAATTGGAGCAAATGACAATTAGGGCTTTCCACGGAATTGCCATTTCCTCCAATTCAGCAGTAAAGAACAAGTTTTCACCAGGGCAAAAAAACAGCAACAAAACACCAGCACACAGATATGGACCTGGAAAGTGGAAGATGGGGGGGGGGGGTCTCTACCTCTCCACATGTGGAAAAATGATAGGACATATGATATAAATATGGTAAAGGGCCTTATGGGTATTTTCTTTGTCTTCCTCTCTTCTCTTTTTTCCTCTGGTGGTATTATTATTATTATTATTATTATTATTATTATTATTATTATTCCTGTTTTGTAGATTAGTCTAATTCTTACTGTATTTTATTTTTTAAAACAAATCCAATAATTTTTTTAAAAAGAAAGAAAGAAAAAGAAAGCCCAGACCTGTTACCTGAGCAAAAGTAAGTGTGGATGAGCTCTTAGTCAAATTCATGGAGACTCTCCAATGGCTACTAGCCACAATGGCTATGTTGAACCTTCAATGTCGGAGGCAAATTGTCTCTGAGTAATACCAGTTGCTGGAACTGCAGGTGGGGTGAGGGCTGCTGAAGTCAGGTCCTACTCGCAGACTTTCCACTGGGACACCTAGTTGACCACCACGGGAAGAGGATGCTGGACTAGATGAGCCTTTGGCCTTATTCCGAAGAGCTTAAGTCCTTCCTCTGACTGCAATATGTGGCAAGTCTTCTTCCGGATGACCTGTTTATTGAGCATTCATCCTGATTCCCTTGCACATTGCTTACGCAGAGGTTAGACTACGGTATTGATGGAGCATTCTCTCTTATTGGTTTCTGGGGAAGTCATACCTGATTTGTTTGTGGGACGGTGATCCCATAACAATTCTGATATGCTCTCTGGAGGACAGGGTGTGGACCCAGAGCATTCCCCATCCTGCACTTAATGAGATCATGTAACAATTCTGGGTCTACAAACTAGAGGAACAAGGAATGGCCCGAAACCACTTTCTTCTTCAAAGCCTCTGAAACAACGTCTAGGTCTCTGGAACTGCCTGGATCATGTGACCTTAGGACAAGTCCTCAAATGTCCAAATTCTCAACACCAAGGAAATAAATCATAAATTGTTGACCTAGGGTGCTGTAATCCCCATTACTTCTGCAAACCCAAATTTCCAGTTATGCGATTGTATGCTTAGTGCAAAATCCGGACCATCTGCAGGCGCCCCTACTCATTCTCCTCAGTTGGGGCCATGGGAGTGTGTTCCAAAGTCCTGCCTTAACAGCGTCACTGCAAGAGACCCTCTCAGTGCCCACTGAGACTGGTGATAATAATATTATAATAATAATTTATTATTTATACCCCGCCCATCTGGCTGGGTTTCCCCAGCCACTTTGGGTGGCTTCCAGCAGGATATTAAAAACACGGTAAAAAGCATTAAAAACTTCCCTAAACGGGGCTGCCTTCAGATGTCTTCTAAAAGTCAGATAGTTGTTTATTTCTTTGAAATCCGGTGGGAGGGCGTTCCACAGGGCGGGTGCCACTACTGAGAAGGCCCACTGCCTGGTTCCCTGTAACCTCACTTCTCGCAATGAGGGAACTGCCAGAAGGCCCTTGGCACTGGACCTCAGTGTCCAGGCAGAACGATGGGGGTGGAGATGCTCCTTCAGGTATACTGGTTAGAAAAGATGGCAGGGAGACCAACAGCCTAATGCTAGGCTTGTCCCCATCTTCCTCCTTGCTGGGTTCTACAAGTGGCAATGCTGAGACTAAGGAGCACACAGGCAGGGCTACCCTCTGGGCTGAGTGGAACTAAGAAGACCAGCAGGTGGGGTCCAACTCAGGGCAGACTGAGGTTGGTCTAAGCACCAGCCTCCGCTAGGCCCGCAAGCACTTTTGCAGAACTGCAGCTGGTATTACACACACCAGGTTCACTGGCCTTTCTGGGTTGCAACCGAGCTTTTCAGATCATCATTTGTTCCTTCTCCTCTGAGCAGCAGCAGCTTAAAGCACGGCTCAGGCAGAGCCTTTGAAATTGTAATGACACCTTTGATTTCCAATCCGCAGGCGGAGGCCAGGGCACCGGAGACCAGGAGCGAGGAGAGGGAAAGGGGGGAGGGAGAGTTTCGGGAGACAATGGTGGGCGTCGACTATTTCCAGAGGCGCCGTGCTGGGGATGAAAAATTATACGGTCCTCGACGCCAACAGAATGACAATGGCAGGGTGGCGGGGAGCGTTAGGGGAAAACACACCCGGGGAGGGCTGCAAAGTCCAGAGCTGCGGAGGCGATCGAAACAAACCTCGCTTGCTGCTTCCTTTTGGAAACTAGGCATCGCTTTGGAAGTTTGCGAGAAACACACACATCCCAAATTAAGCATGCATGATGGACAGAAGATGAATTTTCAGCGGGGACCCTGGGAGTGCCCCATTGAAAGACTGTAAGATGAGAATGGCTGGATCGTGTCAATGGCCCAGCTAGTTTTCTCAGGGGCCAACCAGATGTCCATTGTGAGAAGCCTGATAGAGCTGTGCGTGAGTGCTGCGGCAACTCTGCCCACCTGTGATTTCCAGCAGCTGGTATTCAGAGGCATAATGCCTCTGGCATTGGAGGCAGAACAAAGACATCATGGCTAGTAGCTACTGGCAGCATAGCTGTCAACTTTCCCCTTTTCTTGCGAGGAATCCTATTCGGAATAAGGGAATTTCCCTTTAAAAAAGGGAAACGTTGACAGCTATGACTGGTAGCTCCATGAATTTATCTAATCCTCTTTTGAAGCCATCCACGTTGGTGGCCGTTTCTGCCTCTTGTGGGAGGGAGTTCCATAGTTTAACAATATGCCGCGTGAAGAAGGAGTTTTATCTATTGCAAGTCATCCAACAGCTTCATTGGATGTCCAGGAGTTTCTAAGTGTTACGTGAGAGGGAGAAACACTCTTCTCTCTGCATAATCTGAAAGGGTGCCTTTCCTTGACCTGCTACTTTTCTAGGTGCAGGGATATTTGAAACATTTAATCTGTTCTCGCAATGGCCAGTCACGGGAAGCCGATGGGCGATTCCTGAGCGCAACAATTTTCTCACCACTTGCAATGCCTAGCAGGTGGAATTCAGAGCCCTACTGCCTTCAACAGGAAATGTAGAACATAGTTATAATGGCTAGTAGCCACTGGTAGTCTTCTCCTCC